ATAAGAGTTATAGATATAAATTTAGATGCACTCCTGTTAGCCCTTTTGGGGCCTAGTTTCTAGGCTTTTTTGTATGTGTATCCATATGCTTTTGCGCTACCCTCCACAGAATGGTTAAGAATTGCACAATAAACTAGCCGCTACAGCGGAAAAAATAAAAAAATCACTCATTGTTTTATCCCTTGATGCTATTTTGTTTATACAGTGAGGGTTTTATTATCTACTAATTACTCTCTTAGTTAAAACAATGCCCTCTCTAAATCTAGCTGCATTACCAAGGGCCATTTAATTCTCAGGTTTATTAGCTGGGCTAAGATGTAGCCCATCCATTAGGTTTCTCTATTTATAAAGCAATTTCTTTGATCTCCCTGACGTCACGTGTGCCGACTTGAGGATAAAAACAGATTAATCTCTGTTTATCACCCAAGTCGGCACAGATTAATCTTGCGTCTCTGTCACTAGGTAATTCAGACACTTTTTGAGCGTGGAGAACTTTTATTTATTTTACCAGGTTCACTCACAGTGGAGCTTTAGTAAGTGGTAAAATCCCCACTGGGTGAAACCTCGTAAAATAAGTGTTTCCTGCATAAAGTGTGTTTCAGTTACCACTTCTGGGACTATCGTCTACCACCACACTAGCTTGTGGGTGTGACTGGTGAGGTCATCCACCCTGGCACCGGGGTACTGTAACTTTCCCCGTATCCTATTTCTAACTTGATGAGTAAGACATCTGTAACACTACTAGGTCTGTTTATTGTCGTAACGTTTCGCCTGTATTCACCCGGATAGCAGGCAAGTACATTCGAGTAAAGACATAACACCTGTTTAGCCTCACCTGCCTCCACTAATGGGCCCCGCTTACTTGTAACATCATCTCCAGTTACTACACTTCACGTCTATCTCCAGTATATAAGTCTCGGGCCTTATTCCTTTACTTTATTAAAAAAGTTCATTATTTGTAAAGGGGTAGACTGGTAAACCAGAGGAAGACCTCGGTCAGATGACCAAAAGCTCCAGCTGTGGATCATCATATGACTAGGATCCCCGTCAGGAAACACTTGTCCTGTTTCCTAACAAACATTATACCTAATCCTCTACTTTAGGCTAAGGGATCGAACACTTCAGGTATCTTTCGGCTATCAAAATTACCTCTCCACCTCCTCTATTTCCAGTGTTATAATCCCCTCTATCCGAATAGTGAGGTCTACTATTTAGGCAGAACGTTTCGACGCGATACCCAAGTGTTGCACTCATCAATTTGTCCGCATTATGTGCTATGTATAATATTTTATTTCTAGAATAGGTCAACCGGTCAAGGACTCTCGTTCCAAGGAATTGATTTATTCGTATTTTAATCCGGGGGGGGGGGGGTGCTGAACCCCCAGGGGTCATATATCTCTTCCTGGATGAGTGGCATTCAGGTTCGATCCAAGGATGGGGAGGAAAAACCCAGTTCCTTGGATCAAGAGCCCCTCCCCAGGAATTGAAGCTTCATTTTCTTGGATCAAAACTGATAGCCTACCATCCCCCAAGTGTTGTGTGACTCCTCTAAAGTGCGGTAAGAAGGGTTTTGCATTAGTTTTGCCAAGAGTCGACATTAAATAAATGTAAAAATATTTTTTTTTTTATAACTCACATTGTAGTTTGTCAAAGCCCCCCATCATGACTGACGAAATCGTAATAACTAATAGGAAGCGCGTCTGTCTCGCGCTCAACAGAGGATCAAACCTGCACCACGCCTTGCGCTGAATGACTCGCATGGGTTTAGCACACAACATGAATTAAAACACACAATGAAAACGATTTCGTGAGTGTGTACCACAGCCCGGCTGATCAGGTACTGATTTGAGAAACTTATCAGCTTCCCTCTTCAAAACAGCCAGAGGTTTGTTGATATACTCGGGAGCCTAATTGAAGCATCTGCGGTCCTTTACACAGTCAAAGTGAAGCTTCTTGCTCTCGTATGGGGTGATTTCAGTGAATAACCAACATATCCACATAGAAAGTTTTTATTTTTTTACTATAAGGCCTTGAAAAAAGCAACTTTGACACTAAGCGAAAACGTTGACTTTACCATGTATGGATTTGTGTCTTGTCCGTGGTTCCCTGTTGTCTTGTATATCACCACAAAATACTTTTCGGTGAGGCATTTTTTAAGGGATTTGAGTTACGTTATAATTAGTTAACTTTGGTTAGTTTGCGTTTTTCTAGCCTAGTATAACATAAACTAGTGTCGAGAAATGGGCTTAAAAGCCATACGGTACAATAAAAAAAAGTATTATTCCAGAGGACAAGCTGGAATAACTGATGACTTCCAACAGTGCACTGCAAGGTGTTGTTTTTAATAATAATAATAATAATATTATTAATTATTATTATTATTATTATTATTATTATTATTATTATTATTATTATTATTATTATTATTATTCATTGGGAAACGCTAAACCCGTAGGGATCATACGGGGGGCCTGAGGAATGCAGTGAACTGCGAGTGTTTTTTTTTTCAAGCCACTGTCCACATCGCCAACACCAGAGCCATTAATGCCATGGCATTCACAGTCTGCCATGACATTTTCACTCCCGTGTGTTAATGCTGTGGTACACCTGAGATTGTGGTCGCTCGTTCACCTTAGAGCTACTAAGACACATGATATCTATGATGTCTCCAATATAAGTCACCTGTTTTCGACTGAAGAAGCCTGCTGCGTAGTAGAAACGTTTCAGCAGGAAAGATACCCACGGGTTGTGTATGTATCTTATTCATCAACTTACTGGTATTGTTCAATAATAGCCCACATATGGAGACAAACTCAGGAGATTGATTGATATGTATATTTCGACCCTCCTATGGGATCCTCTTCAGCAGATACGGGTATTGTGTATCATTAATGATGATACGTGATACGCGTTTACCGCATTCTGGGTATGCATGTCCAACTGTAAATGCCCCTTCAGTGGCTCTTGATCCTAAAAATTGTAGCTACCATCCCTTTCCCTGAATTGAATCTGTCTCCTGCTCCCCAAGGCGCTGTATAACCTCCTACGTGTTTAACGCTTCCATATGAAATAAATACAAATAAACACCAATAAATGGTTTAAACATCACCTTATGTCCAAGATTAATCTCAAATCCTTAAACCTGGAATAAACACAAATAAACACTTACAAATGAATTTATATTTACCGAACTTGAATATCATGTTTTTAATATTACTTTATATACGATAAATCTGATGTGGAAAGAACTTTTTCTATAGCAACAAACAACATAAATAAATCAACAACAACACATGACATTCTGGAGTACGAAGTTGAGTAACTATGTGACAGTGATTTAATGGTGTCTATGAAGGGTGTCCCTCCAGGGAGGTCACTTGACGCCTGTGAGGGGGCTCTTGATCCAAGGAATTGTATCTGACATCCTCGTTAGATGGAGCCTGATTGCCTCCAATTTTTCCAGGGGCTGTATAACCCTTGCGAGTTTAGCCCTCAACCCTTATGGTATTATTATTATTATTATTATTATTATTATTATTATTATTATTATTATTATCATCGCTACTACTACTACGAAGAGTGTCATATCTTTTATTTACCTTGTTAGCCTGTGAGCCTGTCCATCTTCCAACATCATTACAGAAAGTTTGTATCGAATTAGACGTTTCAAAGTTCGTGATGTTAGAAGTTTCTTTAACAAGCTATGCGGTTGTGGGGGAAATGTGTCGATGTATGACAGTCTTATCAAACTCTTTTATTGTTTTTTCTTCGCGTGGATGTGTGTGTGGGGTCTTACAGGGAGTAGAACTGCTCGACAGCATAGCGGGGATCACCCGTACACAGCTACACAGAAAGCCTTAATTGTGCTCGTTATCCTTAACATACTTCTTGATCTTGCCCGGGAGAGCACGACTCCAGTTCCATTATGTGGTAATCATGGGGCTTAACTACATGGTGTTAGCGTGGCGAGTATGGGCGTGACTTGTGTCATTCTCACTTACCCTCCTCTCATAACACGCGCACAGTCTTATCACTGAGGTTGAAAACTCGAGGGGAATCCACCAAGCTACCCAACAACATTCTTGGAATTAAAATTAGTTTGAATTATAGTTGGGAAAAGATGATAGGTTACCCTTCTTAGATATTCTTATTATCACAAGAGGAATCCATCATTAGGATTCACTCTTCATCTTAAGCCTACACATTCGGCCAGTTATTTAAGCGTTATTTAAATAATTTTCGTCAGACTAAGAGTGCAGTCCTGGCTGGGGTTGTTTTTATCTGCTGTATCAGATTGCCCACCATAACACGACGTGAAAGGTGATATATATATCAATTATTATTATTATTATTATTATTATTATTATAGTAGTAGTAGTATTGTTATAAGCGGAAGCACTAACCTCGCATGGGTCATACAGCGCATTGGAAATGTAATTATGTCCATTACAAGGAAATGGAGGCCATGTCCACTTACTCGGATCAAGAACCAGTCACCGGCATTGACACCTTCCTTGAGGTGTGTACTTGAATATAAAAGTCTTTATTGTATGCGAAGGATGACACAGCACCTTTGTGTATGTCAGGCTGTGAGAGTGAAAAAAAAAACGTGTGAGGCATTATGGTACCTTAAGGTTCTGAGTTTGTCATGGAAGCCTCTGTTATTACTGTGTTGACTTTGGTTTTGTTGTGTTTTGATTCCATAAATTGTTACTTCTTGCAGAGTCACATAGTTTTACTGATTGCATTAAAGGTGATAAATTTTTAATGTTTTGTATATTGTTGCTTGTGTAATGTAGTGGTGTTTTTTTTAAATCTGCGTGTGTAATATGGTCGTATTTCTCTGTATGTTACTTATGTATTTTTTAATTGTTTATAGTGATTATTTCGCTGTATGATAAAGATTTTTTTAAATTGTCTGTAATATCGTGATTTCCCTTGTATGATACTTAATACTTAAACTATTGCGCGTGTATGATAAAGTGATGATTTCTTTGCAGGATGCTTGTTGGAGCCCCTAAAGATCAAAATTTGCAGCCGGGAACGAACAGGTCCGGAGCACTGTGGAAATGCCCGATCAGCACTAAAACTACTGACTGCGAGCAGGTTCAGACAGACGGCTTCAGGAGTGAGTAGCCTTGCCATGCTGCACCCATCGCTGTCCTTCATTACCGGTCTTCTTGATTTTTCTCTTTTTATTCATGCAGACTATTTGCTATTATAGACTGTAAACAATAGACAGTAAACTGTGATATATTAGAAAACACGTTTTAGTTTAGTTTTACCAGGCGTAGACATTTAAATAAATGTAGTTGTAGTATGCTGTAAGATGCTATGGTAAATCGGTATCTTTGGTTTTAGTAGGTAAATTTTTGGGCATATATTATTTTCAGTGTTATTTGTCTGGGTAAACACTGAAAATGGGAGACTATTTTATGGCATTTCGCGCATTGTTCGATATGCCCGATAATAGTTTTTGTCCCATTTTCGAACATGCATACATGTTTTTTCTTTAAAATGTAAGAAATTAGTAGTAATATATTTGTACTGATGACAAATCTGCCACTGCTACTGGACGCCACTAAGCCCGACTGCCCACACGTAATTAACCTTAGACTGTTTTAGGGCCGAGGCAACATTGCTCGGGACTGCATCCACTACTAGTGTCAGGTTAAAAACCTACTCACTCTAATTTGAATAGTCACAGACTAGGGAAAGTTTTTTTTTTTATATATATTTATGGTTTTGTTTTTTTGTTGGGTTATAGTTTTTATGTTTAAAAATTTTTTTTTTATGTTTGGGGGTTTTTTTTGTTTTTTTGTTTTTTGGGTTTTTTGTTTTTGTTTTTGGGGTTTTTTGTTTTTTATTTTTTTTTTTTTTGTTTTTGGGGTTTTTTATATTTGGGTTTTTATGTTGGGTTTTTTTTGGTTTTTTTTTTTTGGGTTTGTTTTTTGTGTGTTTGGGGTTTTTTGTGGGTTTTTTTGTTGTTTGTTTTGGGGGGGGGTTTTGTTTTTTTTTGTTGTGGGTTTTTTTTTTTTTGTTGTTTTTTTTTTTTGTTTTGTTTTTTTTTTTTGGGGGGGTTTTGTTTTTGTTTTTTTGGTTTTTTTGTTTTTTTTTTTTTGTTTTTTGGGGTTTTTTGTTTTTTTTGTTTTTGTATTTTTTTAATTATGTTTTATATGTAATTATGTTGTATATATGTTATATTAAGTTATTATAGTATATGGTATATGAGATGTATATGTAATTGATATAAAATTATATTTATAGTTATTATATTTTTATATGATGTGTGTTTAGTTGATATGTATGTAGTATAGTATGATGTATGTATATATTATATATAATATATTATATATATATATATAATTTATTATGTATATATATATGTATATATTTAATTAATATTATATGTTATATATATAAATTTATATATTAATATATTTATATATAATTATATTATAAATATATATATATATATATATTTATATATATATATATACATTATATATATATTATTATATATATTAAAATAATTTTTATATATATATATTAATATATTATATATATATATTTAATATATATTATTATATATTATATTATATATATATATATTATATATTATATGTATATATAATAAATTATTATATTTTATACATATATATATATAATAATAATATATATTATAATATGATATATAATATATATATATATAAATATATATATTTATATTTAATATATATATATATATAATAATTATATATATATATATGATATATATTATTATATAATTAAATAAATATATATATTATATAATAAAATAATATTATATATAATATAATATAATATCATATATATATAATTTATATATATATACAAATAATATATATAAATATATATATAATTTGTATATATATATAATATATATAAATATATATATATATATTAATATAATATATATATATATACAATATATAATAATAATATATATATACATATATATATATATATATATATACATATATTACAAAATTAATATATATTAATATAATATATAAAATATATATTATATATTATATATAATATATATATATATATATAAATATTAATATAATTTATAATATTATATATATATATATATTAATAATAATTTAATATGTATATAATATATATATAATATATATAAATTATAGTATAATATATGTTAATATCTTATATATGTAATAAATGTAATTATATTATATATAATTATATAACATTATATAAATATATAATATATTAAATATAATATATATATAATATATATATATTATATATATATTTTATTTATGTATATAATATATATAATATTATATATATATGTATATAAAATATGTAATATATATATATGTATATATATATATATATAAATATATTTAATATATATATAAAATATATATATATAATATATAATATATATATATTGAAAAAAACATAACGTTTCAGTCCTTCCTTAATCATGATAGTTGTACAGGACAGCCCGAAACTTCGTCTAGTTTTCATTTCCAATTTGTGGATTAGGTGCTAGCTGTACCTGTTAAAACTTCGTGTAATGAGAAGGGTCAGTGTTCAGACTTAGTGTCGTAATAATATGTTCGATTGCAGTCTATATATCGGTGTTTTAGGACAGAAAGTAGTTGAGGATTCAGGTAACTTGTAATGTGGAAATTTGAGAGTAGCCATACAACACTGACGAGGAGTTGCTGTTTTTCACACAGTTACATTCCAGTTTCTATTATGCACTTCTTAATTTCTATGTGTCCAACGTAAACTTCAGTCCTATCATATTATTTGCACTCAAGTTAAATTTAGGAGATTCGTCTGTGTTGAAGTCGTGGTATATATATATATATATATATATATATATATATATATATATATATATATATATATATATATAATTAATATATATATATATATAATGTGTGTGTTTTATGTATGTATGTCGTGCCGAATAGGCAGAACTTGCGTCTTGGCTTAAATAGCAACGCTCATCTTGCCATATAGGACAAAATGAAAATTTGTGTATGCCCAAAAATTTCGCCAAAATCATTCTGAATCTAACGAAAAAAATATATTTCACTGTGTTTGTTTAATACTAAATTATTGTAAACAAATCTAAAATATATTTAGTTGGGTTAGGCTAAAATAAATTGCGCTTTTTATAATAAGGTTTTGGTAAGTTTTCTAAGATTCTTTGGCGCAAAATTATAAATTTTTACATCAACATTAGTGAAAAAATATATCTTTAACGTATAAGAAAAATTTCAGAAAGGAATTTAAATTTTTAAAAGAGCTCTTGCTAATTGACTAGTTTTACATATTCGGCACGACATGATATATATAAAATAAATATATATATATTATATATATAATTATATATATATATATATATATATATATATTATATATATATATATATATATTATATATATAATGCCAAAAGTTTTTTAAAATCTTTTGCTACAAGTTTGTAAAAATTACAAGTTAATCCCAAGACATCCCAGAACGAGAGTCGCAAATTGATTTCAGAAAAAATAACAGCCCCCAAATAGAGCTTTGGGGTTTAGTGAAGGACTTGAGGGGTTGTGGGAAGGTATTTATTGTAGTGGGTGAAGAGTAGTAATGACACACATGTTAGTAACGTGAGCAGGGACATGGCCGCCTTAGTGACGTACTTCAGAACTCCTTCAGCTGTGTGGGAGACACCTGCCCTCAACACCCGGATTCACAAACAACTAGTAATTTGGTTCGTCCTACACAAAAGCTCGTAAATTCCATACAATTTTAGCGTTGCTTTTTTTTATTATACACACAATGCATTAATGGCATTCAGCATTCTTCAAGGAACTTCTCAGGGAGTTTCTTGAGGGCTTGCTTCTTAATTTTCTTGAATCCGGGTGCTGATGATACCCAACTACCAGTATAAGGTTTGAGACTTAATACTATTTACTTAGCACAAGAGACATGCAAGAGGTCTCTACGAGTCAGCATACGAGCGCAGCACCCTCCCCTCCCCCCGCCTCTTGACAACTTGGGGCCCACTGACAGCCCTCCTGGCTCCACCAGTGTATATCATGACCTGCATGCTGCTGTAAAAATGTTGCCGGATGTTGCTGAGACGGCTATTGCTGTATGAGGCGCCGATGGTGGCCATACGACTGGCTGTTACTACGGCACTACATATATATATGTACCTCCCCGCCCGCGCACACGTGACTTTTATCGCACTCTGACTCTCCCTGTTCATGACTGTTTCTCTGACAAGCTATGTCAGTTAAGGTCACGGCTCTCACTCCGTACTATAGGTGCTGGACTAGCCTTCACTGATTTGCATGTTGCATTGTGTTTTACCCAATATCTCAGTCAGTTTTGCTGAGAGTTTAAAGTGCGTTCCATGTTCGGAGTGAGAACCAAACTTGGTGTTTTCTTTCTTTGTAACATTAAAAATTCTTTAACTTCTTCTTCTCACTATAGACATCTTAACAATATTTAAATTGTACAGAAATACAAATATATGTGTCCAGTTACAAGTGACACGATAAATTATTACAAAACTATCTTAACTTAGATCTACATACAAGATTTTCTTCATTTGCTCATTTCTCTCTGTGCATGAATCGAAAAATTCAATTTGTGTCTGAACGTTTGGATACACTTCACTTGATACTTCTGCTGTCACGCCTTTATGATGGTGCTAAGCATTAAATGGTAGTAAATACAAAATATTGCATTACCTGTTATACTGGTGGCCTCAGTTCGTGTGCTTGCAGTGCTTCATAAAACAAAAATCTATTTTATTGGTGAAAATATTTTGGCTGTTCTCTGTTAATAATACAGTCGATATCTGAAATTTATAGCTTTTTTTTTTTTGCATAATATTCAAAAGTTCGGTGATAATTTATTTCAAATTATAAATCAGTAATTGGCTAACAGTTCTCATGTGAAACCGTACAGATAAAACTAATTATTGGTTGTTATTGGTTGGAATTCAGCAGTTCCAAGTTTATTAACTTTGTTAGGATATTGGTAAATTTCCATCTACAGAGACTAAACTTATTGGGTACCATCTTCTCTATATGGTACATCAGCCATTAAAAATTGAAGTCATTCAGAAGAGGCAAACTCAAAATTTTTCACGAAAATGATACTACACTTTTTAAATAAAACTGGTAAATTGTAAACTCCACACACTCCAATAACAATGTCAGTCTTCTAAGACACAGAAGTGTTGAAAGTTTGAAGCCAAGCAGACGAGGCTTTCTCAGATTATTCTGCAATCAAATCCAGGAATGGTCTCATAAAATTGACCAGAGGACACCCACATGTTCTAATAGTTTCAGAACCCTTTCCCTAGTTAAAGTACATCAGTGTTCAAAAATAGGAGACTATCAGATCAGTGGTTCTTAAGTTATAAGAAAACTTGGTAGGAAGGGCAAAAAGGAAAAATATCAGGCATTTACTTAAGGTTCCCCATCGGGAATACCTAATTAAAGTTTTACAGACATAGACACATTACATAATTTTCTGTATTCATTTTTCAGTTTTATTTAACACTTTAAAGGTTTATTATATCATGTATCAACAACGTATAAGTGATCAAAAGTGAAGCAGCAGTATCAGGAAAGTGTTCAGGTAACCTTCTGACACAAATTACATTTTTTCATTTATGTTTGTTTGCTTTTAAATGTTTGATTTATATTCACTCTTCAAAAAAAAAAAAAAATGTTTGTCTTACGTTATGTATGTTGCTTACTTCTTACAGATCCGGAAACAGGGCTCTACGACTTTGACTGTAAGTTTAACCCCCATCATCCTCCACCACAACCACACCACCACCACCGCCCGGGGCCCTCGATGCCCAGCATGTGGCTTCACCATCTGGGATTGATTTAACATTACGCATTTGCCTCACATACAGCACCTTATGTTCACATAGCATTTCCTTACCGTGCCTAGGCACGACCTTTGACTGCCCACCCCACCCCTCCCTAACAGTACTAGTACCACCTTAGGCATCATTAAACCCTCTCCCCCCCCCGCCTCCCATCTTCCCTCCTTCTAGCTATTTGCTTGCTGGGGCAGCCGCGTCATGCACGACCAATAAGTTACATCCGTCATATTTCATCCAGTTGATCGACGGAGGTAAACCTCATATAATTACGCCACAACGAGCACAATTACTTAGATGGATACTGAGTTAACCTCCGCCGTGTTCGTAGTCACTCACTGTCACTCCATATCATTGTTCCTCACATCATTGACCTTTCTTATATAAATGATTTTACCAGCATCCAAATGATTGAAACAGTGTTTTCTCGTAGAAACTAATATCGTGTTTGTGATTGCCGTATTTGCTCAGTCCTTCAATCCACAGCTTCCTATTGACTAACCTACCGTGGCTATGCCTCGGAATCACACCTGGAACTTCACTATGATTCCACAGATAATAATTACACAGTGGGATATGCTACATCCATTGTGATCCTTGTATTTTTTTGCGTTGCCGTTAACATGATGAACATGAGGTGCATAGTAAACTAGCTTCTCGTTTGAAAAAAAAAAAAAACGTAATTTTTACTGATAGCGACATGCCCCTGTTTTACCATTCTTTGCCATGCAGTACACCTACGCCTGCAACAGTTCTTATACATTTGTAGGAGTACCCATGCTTGCTTCAGGGCTTGTACACCTATGTGACTATACTTACGCCAGCAGCAGTGCTCATACACTGTAGCAGTGTATAACTACGCCTGTAACATTGTAAGTACACCTACTGCAGCCAAACTTCCCCGCTGCAGTTAACTGCATCCAAGACATCGTAGACCAAGAGGAATTTACTGTTTGTTCAATTTAGGATGTGCATTTACGATTTTATTCTCGTCTTGCGTGGTATTATTGACTGGGTAATTCTGCCGAAGACATTTCGAAACGTAAACACTACATAGGAAGGTTTGCTGTGACCTTCATATACATAATAAAATTGACATGAAATAAAACTATAATTTATATTGGTATGTGGTGGCTATTAATATACTAAAGACAATTTAGCCGTTTGAGTAATGTAGATAAAGGTCCAATTTATAAATATAAATAAATGTAATTAAAATGTATGTATGAGCAAGCTGGATCAATATACAAAAATACCTAAACTATCTAGAATCTCAAAAATTCATTTTGTAAATATATTTTACCACAAAAAAGTGTGCCTTATATTCACATAAATCTGATGCCACAGCCACAGTTATCACATTTAAACTACACAATAATGCACCATAAATAGGACTTTTATATCTTTAAAATAATGCATTTGTAAGGCGCCTCACAGTAATTTTAGGAATAATAGTTTTTAAGAAATAGAATGTCGAGTGATTCTTTACTTTTCTATCTCTTATAATGAAAAAAGATCATGTTGCACTTTAAAATGGATTTAATATAATGACTTGTGGTACCATATTTTTCTTGTTAGTTGGGCAGTTAGATCAGAGCGAAGATCTTCGTCTGAACCATTGTTTTACCAAGTGTTCTCCTATTACATGTATAGTACATTATAAGTCTGTGATTAACCACACATTTAAAAAATATTTCTTTTATTAATATAACAGAAATGAATATATAATATATATATATATATAATATATATATATATATAATATATATATATATTATATATATATATATATATATATTATATATATATTATATATATGTAGGAAGATACCACCTCTAGTGCTTTGGGTAATAATATGGGTATTTGTTTATGGTTAAAATGCTTATTACTCTACCAAAAATAAATCAAACCCCTGGAGGTGGGAGGGGGGGTAAATAATTACATACAAAGGTTAGCTTTTTTTAAATACCCCCCCCCGGCCACACTGTATTCGAAAATAGTAAAATGACAAGAGTTAGAAACATGTAGTTTGAACAGACTTTATCAGAGGACACGTATTGTTAAATTCATTTTTTACTGTAAATATGTCAGCTTATGCATAGATTTGAAGACGTTCAAGCTATTGCAAATACTGAACAGTATGTGGTGGTGGTATTTTATTTATCACAAAACAGGACAAGTGTTTCTTGTCGTGGGTCTTAGTCGTATGATAACCCTCTAACTCCATGGCGCTTTTGGTCGTATGACCGAGGCCTTCCGCTGGCTCACCGGTTCACCCCGTTAAAAATTTAAGGTCACAACATAAGATTTTTTCGTAGTATGTACCTTATTTTTATTAAGGTTGTCACACATAAGTATAGGAAGAATGCCGTGCTTTAATTGCGGTAGTTGAAAATATTTTAACATATTTGTAAAGCATTTGTTTTAATAATGAAAAGACTACAGAGAAATTTTTGTGTAAACGGAACAAGGGTAGACCCGTTGAGCATAATTATACTAATGATCAAGACATTTTACAGCAACCGAAGCCTTGTAAAACACTGAAATTTAACTAACAAAATTCATCAGATTGTCATGTTGAATGCGCTTTTTGAATGGCCAACACTGCAAAAACATGTTGCAAGTACTTTGCATGTATTTTTTTGTGCATTTTTCTTGAGTTCTGCATGGTTCCTGCATCAGTTCCTCCTCCCCTTTCCCTATTCCTCCTCCCCTTTCCCTCCTCCAACCCACCGTGTAATGAATTACATTCTTTTCTTCTTCCTTACCCTGTAACTTTATCATCAGAATTTTAACCACGTTTCATGAATCATCTCACAATAAAAAAATAAATTTACTTTTTCAAATTCTTTCACCTCTCTTCCATGCATCTCTTTATTCATTAATGTATTTACATAACAATCCAGCATACTGCCCATTCTTTTATATCCCATCTTACCGCCTCTACTTCTGCCCTCGTCTCATCTTTCTGAAATTCTTGTCGTTCACTTACCATCTTTCCTCTCTCCCTCATATCACAAACCTAACACTAACTCCTCTTCATCCACCATCTCTATTCTCCATCATCTCGCATCTTCCATATTCTCTCTTCTTACATGGTACTGATGTACCTATGTTTTCAACCTTCCTTGTCTGTCCCTTTCCCACAGGACTTTGGTTGTTTTATCATCTTTTATGTTGGTATGACTTTTTCAGTTGCATCGCCTTCTCGAGAATAGGCTGCTGAGAGCTGTTTTAATAAGTGGTTTTTGTTATGTTAAGGTTTTCTTTTTATTTCAGTTGCATTTTGAATTACTATGTTGTCAGCATGATGGAACCTTATGGCAAGTTGGCTTCTGTTGCTCTTAAGATTATTTTAGTTTTTTTTGGCATTGGGTTACATTTAAAAAAAGTATTTAGAAACTTGAAGTTGTTTTAAAATTATTGACAAATTATGTTTGATTTCATTTTAAGAACCACAGAAGCAAAACAATATTTTGATTTCGCAGTTTTTTTTTTTTTTTGGTATGTTGTATTGCCTGATATTCTTAGGTTCGTATTTCATGCTTTGTTGTTCAGGTGCTGTCATGGGTTCCAAAATTCCATATGTTGCACATATTACATGTGGCACCGATGGAGGTCGCTTTTTTTTATGTATGGCTAGACTGGAATATAATCAGGAATCACGTTTTCAGACAAAAAAAAAATAGTCATTCCTTTGTTTATTTTCCAGTTTGGTCAGAGTGGAATGTATTTATGTTATGTATAAGAAATATTAATCTTCATCAGTTGGTATAGCCTCAGCAACAGTATCAGAGATATATGTTGAAGGATACATATTTTTAGTATGACTTTCAGCAGAGACCTTTGATATTTTTGTTCAAGTAGTATGTCAGCCTTCTGATTCAGATTTGATTTTTCTGGACATTTCATGCTATGCCTGTGCACCGGTTATGATATATGATATGATATGCTTGGTTATGAATCTTGGGGATGGCAGCCACTGTGGTGTGATTGTGGTCTGTCATTTGGTAAATTTATATTCCTGCATTATTGTCAGTATTGAATTGATATTGCTTAAAGCTTAGCTTTTAAACTGTTATGTAGAGTACAAGCTTTTAGTATTGTTTTGCAAAGTGTTCAGTAAAGTTTTGCTTATTTTCAGTGCTATACAGTTGTATATAATGTGAGCATAATTATTCAGTCTCCATTATGACTAGTTTCTTGTGAGCTTTCACTATGCTTTGTAACTTTTTTGTAAATATCAAAGTGTTAAAGCAGTCAGATCTGAGAAGTTACCTCAGCAGTAGAATATCCTACTATAAGGTAGGTTACCTATTCATAAAACAGCGAGGGAACGAAAGAATTTTGGCACACCAGAACGTTTCTCCGCTACTCTATGTAACATACCTGCCTTTTGCAGATTCAGGCGAATCTTTAACAGAGCCTTCAGAAGATGAGATCAAAGATGACCAGTGGCTTGGTGTTACTCTTAAAAGTCAGAAACCTGGCGGAAAAATTTTGGTAAGTTTTTACGTGTAGGTTGTACTTATTGTAAAAATTATGCTGTTATATTGTCGCCTTATTCCTTGACTTAGGGGTCGTCCTCGAAAAGGTTGGAAGGAAGGGGTAAGGAAGGTTTTGTGGGCGAGGGGCTTGGACTTCCAGCAGGCGTGCATGAGCGTGTTCGATAGGAGTGAATGGAGACGAATGGTATTTGGGACCTGTCGATCTGTTGGAGTGTGAGCAGGATTTAGTGAATGGATTCAGGGAAACCGGTTATTTTTATATAGCCGGACTCGAGTCCTGGAAATGGGAAGTACAATGCCTGCACTCTAAAGGAGGGGTTTCGGGATATTAGCAGTTTGGAGGGATATGTCGTGTATCTTTATATATGCTTCTAAACTGTTTTTTTTTTACACAGGGTTTGACAAGGTTAAGGATCCCTAGCTTTATTGACAAGCTATTTACAGGTTAAGGATTCCTAACTTTATTGGCAAGCTAAGAGCTGTTACCTACATCAGCTCATTTGAAAGCATTTTTATTGTTATGAGACATACAAGTAGGGAACAGGATGAAATTGGAGCCATCTGTGGGCCAGCAGTTTCATTTGATCAGTTGCAAAACAGTGATTATGTGTGAGTGAGGTGAAAGTGTTGAATGATGATGAAAGTATTTTCTTTTTGGGATTTTCTTTTGGGTCACCCTGCCTCGGTGGGAGACGGCCGACTTGTTAAATATATATATATATATATATATATATATATATATATATATATATATATATATATATATATATATATATATATATATATATATATAATTACCGTCCTGCCAAGTGAGTGTAAAACGGAAACCTGTAATTGTTTTACATGATGGTAGGATTGCTGGTGTCTTTTTTTCTGTCTCATAAACATGCAAGGTTTCAGGTACGTCTTGCTACTCCTTCTTACACTTAGGTTACACTACACATACATGTATAAGCATAAATAACAAAAAAAAAAGGCACAATACCGTGACTGGAACGATACACAAATAACCCGCACATAAAAGAGAGAAGCTTACGACGACGTTTCGGTCCGACTTGGACCATTGACAAAGTCAATGTGTGTGACTTTGTCAATGGTCCAAGTCGGACCGAAACGTCGTCGTAAGCTTCTCTTTTATGTGCGGGTTATTTGTGTATGTATAAGCATATATATATATATATATATATATATATATATATATATATATATATATATATATATATATATATTATATATAGGAATACACTTTTATTCTTTGTTTATAGGGATTCCCACCAAGCAGGTGGAAAAAAAAAACTTCACTCAGGACAACTCAACTGTTTGCCCGGGGTGTTTGAACTAATTTTATAAAACTGCAAAAATTAACAACCTCCTTAAATGTAGATGTATTTACCACTCCAGACTCAATCCCCTGCGGTTTTCTCTAATTCCCTTGCTATGTTTTACTTGTTCAATTCACTGTTACTCAGTATTAAAAAACCATTTTCCCTCCTTCAATGCTGTCAAGAGCGCTCAAGATGCCGTGAGCAAGTAGTAAGCCCTTTTCGCAAAATAAACTTTTAAAAGGACTCTTGTTTTTCTACCACCTTCGTGGGATACCCGGTTTTCAACAGAATAAATACACTCTTAAGTCATTCTGTTTCTCATTCTTCTAATGTAACATAACAAAATTCCTATATGACATACATTTTGGTAAATCCCATCTCCTAACTTCCAAATAAATATTATATGCATTATATATTACATCATAATTGCCTACATATATATCATACATACACACACCTATATAGGTATTTATATATATTTTTATTATATATTCTTTTATTGTTTAGGGGGTTCTGTTATCTCCGTGGGGAGAAAACAATGTTCCTTTGGGAAGATGTGTGTTGGCAGAGAAGCAACTTAAATGCTTTGGAGCAAGGGCAGTGATCTCTGTATAAATTAAAATTTGAATAGAGAAAGTTTTTTTTCTTTTTGGGTCCACCCTGCCTCGGTGGGAAAACGGCCGGTTTGAAAAAAATAAAAATATATATAATAATATATATAATATATATATATATATTTATTAATTTATTATTTTTTATAATATTATTTCTTTCCCATCGCTATCCACGGAGGGCGGGGTGGCCCAAAAGGGAAAGGGAAACGAAATGATCCCTTTTAATTTATATTATATAAACAGTGATAAGGGTTTACTTAAGCCTTGCTCCCGCATTTTAGTCGCCTCTTACAACACGCATGGCTTACGGAGGAAGAATTCTGTTCAACTTCCCTATGGAGGTAAGAGGAAATAAACAAGAACAAGAACTAGAAAGAAAATAGAAGAAAACCCAAAGGGGTGTATATATATGCTTGTACATGTATGTTAGTGTGACCTAAGTGTAAGTAGAAGTAGCAAGACGTACCTGAAATCTTGCATTCATGAGACAGAAAAAAAAAGAAAACCAGCAATCCTACCATCGTGTAAAACAATTACAGGCTTCAGTTTTACATCACCTGCAGGACGTAGTACCTCCCTTTTATGTCTACAAATTATATTAATATATATATATATATATATATATATATATATATATATATATATATATATATATATATATATATATATATATTATTTAGTTTGTGAGGGGGGGTTCGGGGAAGCCGGTTGGCTGGACTCGAGTCCTGGAGGTGGAAAGTACAATGCTTGCACTTTGGGGGAAGGGGTTTGGGATGTTGGCAGATTGAATGAACTTCTTAAACTGTCATATCTGAGCACCTTCGCAAGGACAGTGATTATGTATGAGTGATGGTGAAAGTGTTGAATGATGATGAAAGTTTTTTTTCTTTTTGGGTCACCCTGCCTCGGTGGGAAACGGCCGACGTGTTGAAAAAAAAAAATATGCATACTACGTATAATATATATAGATAGATATAGTATATAATTTATTTATTTATTTTATTTATTATAAGATTCTATTTGCTCAGGTGTGTGCCCATCGCTACATGCACAAAGGCAAGGGCTTCCAGTGGGGCTTTGGCCTGTGTTACATTCTTTCACACCAGTTTGAAGTTGTTGACTATCTGGAACCATGCCGAGGCAAGCCTGTTAATGAGTAAGTTTATATTATTTAAAACAGTGGTTCATTTATTTTTAGTATGTTTAAATTTAAGTGTTCTTCGTATAGTATTTTTAGTAGTTGACAAGATAATGGAAGGAAATATTTTATACTTTCAACAGAACAAAACAGTAGAAGGCATTTGAGAACAAAAACCTGATAATTATCCTTATACGCTGTAGCAATTTTTTTTTTTATATTTTATTTAAAGCAATGCAAATGCAAGTTGATATAAAACACAGAACAGATTAATACACAAGAATCCAACACAGTGACACCTCAACCAGGTCGTCTAAATACATTCAAAAGATTAATATTATATAGAACAATGTAACACTGAAGTTCAATAGAGCTCAAAGGCTACAGCACTACTGTAAATATGACCTAGGGGCGAGAGGCACCTGGGGGTCAGGGGTCACCACCCCGTCGCCGGTTCCAGACCAGGCACAGAAAAAAGAGAATTCCAGAGAGGAACTTTGTTGAGAGATTTCACCTGTGGAAGAGGCTTCTTCAGTCAGTCCCGTCAAGGGAGGTTCCTTGATGCTGGTGAAGGGCTCTTATCTAGGGAATTGGATCTGTGCTCCAGTTCCCTAAATTGAGCCTAAATGCCTTCCATCCCCCCACATGCGCTGTATAATCCTATGGGTTACACAAGCAAGTGTGTACTCACCTAATTGTGGTTGCAGGGGTCGAGACTCAACTCGTGGCCCCGCCTCTTCACTGATCGCTACTAGGTCCTCTCTCTCTCTCTCTCTGCTTCCTGAGCTTTGTCATACCTCGTCTTAAAGCTATGTATTGTTCATGCCTCCACTACATCACTTGTGTGCACATGCATCCGTGCATGCATGTATGTATGTGGAGTTACTAAAAGTATTAATTAGAGGGCTGAAGAGGGAGCTGTTGAGGTGGTTTGGTCATTTAGAGAGAATGGAACAAAGTAGAATGACTTGGAGAGCATGTAAATCTGTATGAGAAGGAAGGCAGGGTAGGGTTCGTCCCCGAAAAGGTTGGAGGGACGGGGTAAAGGAGATTTTGTGGGAGATTGGGCTTGGACTTTCAGCAGGCATGCGTGAGCGTGTTAGATAGGAGTGAATGGAGATTAATGGGTTTTGGGACCTGACGAGCTGTTGGAGTGTGAGCAGGATAATATTTTGTAAAGGAATTCAGGGAAACCGGTTAGCCAAACTTGAGTCCTGGAAATGGGACTACAATGCCTGCATTTTAAAGGAGGGGTTTGGGATATTGGCAGTTTGGAGGGACGTCTAAACTGTCGTATCTGAGCGTCTTTGCAAAGACGGTGATTATGTATGAATGATGGTGAAAGTGTTGAATATTGAAAGTTTTTTCTTTCTTTTTGGGTTTTTCTTTCTTTTTTGGATCACCCTGACTCGGTGAGAGATGGCCAATGTAATAATGTATATATGTACATACGTACATGTCCGCAGGCACGCGCATGCATGCGCACACACGCACACACACACACTGGAGCCAGGAGCTATGAATCGACCCCTGCAACCACAAATAGTTGAGCGCACACACACACACACACACACACACATACACACACACACACACACACACACACACACACACACACACACTCCGTCTGCAGTCTTCTTTGCCCTTGGGGAAGGGCAAAGAAGACCGCAGACGGAGTACAGTCTAGGGGGCCAGAGACTACAAACCTCACTCAAGGAAAAAAATCTTGGGGTGAGTATAACACCAGGCACATCTCCTGAAGCGCACATCAACCAAATAACTGCCGCAGCATGTGGGCGCCTAGCAAACCTCAGAACAGCATTCCGACATCTTAATAAGGAATCGTTCAGGACCCTGTACCGTGTACGTTAGGTCCATATTGGAGTATGCGGCACCATTTTGGAACCCACACCTAGCCAAGCACGTAAAGAAACTAGAGAAAATGCAAAGGGTTTTGCAACAAGACTAGTCCCAGAGCTAAGAGGTATGTCCTACGAGGAGTGGTTAAGGGAAATCAACCTGACGACACTGGAGGACAGGAGAGATAGGGGGGACATGATAACGACATACAAAATACTGAGAGGAATTGACAAGGTGGACAAAGACAGGATGTTCCAGAGATTGGACACAGTAACAAGGGGACACAGTTGGAAGCTGAAGACACAGATGAATCACAGGGATGTTAGGAAGGATTTCTTCAGCCACAGAGTAGTCAGTAAGTGGAATAGTTTGGGAAGCGATGTAGTGGAGGCAGGATCCATACATAGCTTTAAGCAGAGGTATGATAAAGCTCACGGCTCAGTGAGAGTGACCTAGTAGCGATCAGTGAAGAGGCGGGGCCAGGAGCTCGGACTCGACCCCCGCAACCTCAACTAGGTGAGTACACACACACACACACACACACACACACACACACACACACACACACACACACACACACACTCACACACTCACACACACACACACACACACACACACACACACACACACACACACACACACACACACACACACACACACACACACACACACACACACACAAATCCTGTATCACAAACCTCCTGGAGTTTTATGACAAGGTAACAGAAGTAAGACACGAGAGAGAGGGGTGGGTAGATTGCGTTTTCCTAGACTGCAGGAAGGCCTTTGACACAGTTCCCCACAAGAGATTAGTGCAGAAGCTGGAGGATCAGGCGCATGTAAAAGGGAGGGGCACTGCAATGGATAAGGGAATACCTGACAGGGAGGCAGCAACGAGTCATGGTACGTGAAGAGGTAATCACAGTGGGCGCCTGTTACGAGCGGGGTCCCACAGGGGTCAGTTCTAGGACCAGTGCTATTTTTGATATATGTGAACGACATGATGGAAGAAATAGACTCTGAAGTGTCCCTGTTCGCAGATGATGTGAAGTTGATGAGAAGAATTAAATCGGACGAGGATGAGGCAGGACTGCAAAGAGACCTGGACAGGCTGGACATGTGGTCCAGTAACTGGCTTCTTCTCGAATTCAATCCAGCCAAATGCAAAGTCATGAAGATTGGGGAGGGGCAAAGAAGACCGCAGACAGAGTATAGGCTAGGTGGACAAAGACTACAGACCTCACTCAGGGAGAAAGACCTTCGGGTGACCATAACACCGAGCACATCACCGGGGGCACACATCAACCAAATAACTGCTGCAGCATACGGGCGCCTGGCAAACCTGAGAATAGCGTTCCGATACCTTAATAAGGAATCGTTCAAGACACTGTACACTGTGTATGTTAGGCCCATACTGGAGTATGCAGCACCAGTCTGGAACCCACACCTGGTCAAGCACGTCAAGAAGTTAGAGAACGTACAAAGGTTTGCAACAAGGCTAGTCCCAGAGCTCAAGGGAATGTCGTACGAGGAAAGGTTAAGGGAAATCGGACTGACGACACTGGAGGACAGAAGGGTCAGGGGAGACATGATAACGACATACAAGATACTGCGGGGAATAGACAAGGTGGACAGAGATAGGATGTTCCAGAGAGGGGACACAGGGACAAGGGGTCACAACTGAAGACTCAGACGAGTCACAGGGACGTTAGGAAGTATTTCTTCAGTCATAGAGTTGTCAGCAAGTGGAATAGACTAGCAAATGAAGTAGTGGAGGCAGGAACCATACATAGTTTTAAGAAGAGGTATGACAAAGCTCAGGAAGCAGAGAGAGAGAGGACCCAGTAGCGATCAGTGAAGAGGCAGGGCCAGGAGCTGAGTATCGACCCCCGCAACCACAATTAGGTGAGTACAATTAGGTGAGTACACACACACACACACACACACACACACACACACACACACACACACACGAGAGGTATGTGAAGAGCTCAACACGAGATTTAAAGAAGTATTTACAGTGGAAACCAGTAGGACTCCAGGAAATCAGAACAGGGGTGTACACCAGCCAGTGCTGGATGAGGTACATATAACCAAGGAGGAAGTGAAGAAGCTGCTATGCGAACTTGACACATCAAAGGCAGTGGGACCAGACAACATCTCTCCGTGGGTCCTTAAAGAGGGAGCAGAGATATTGTGTGTCCCATTAACAAAGATCTTCAACACATCATTTGAAACTGGGCAACTCCCTGAGGTATGGAAGATGGCAAATGTAGTCCCAATTTTTAAAAAGTGAGACAGACATGAGGCACTAAACTACAAACCTGTATCACTAACGTGTATAGAATGCAAGGTCATGGAGAAGATCATCAGAAGGAGAGTGGTGGAGCACCTGGAAAGAAACAAGTGTATAATTGACAACCAGCACGGTTTCAGGGAAGGAAAATCCTGTGTCACAAACCTACTAGAGTTTTATGACAAGGTGACAGAAGTAAGACAAGAAAGAGAGGGGTGGATCGACTGCATTTTGTTGGACTGCAAGAAGGCCTTCGACACAGTCCCTCACAAGAGGTTACTGCAAAAACTAGAGGATCATGCACACATAACAGGAAAGGCACTGCAATGGATCAGAGAATACCTGACAGGGAGGCAACAACGAGTCATGGTACGTGACGAGGTGTCAGAGTGGGCGCTTGTGACAAGCGGGGTTCCACAGGGGTCAGTCCTAGGACCTGTGCTGTTCTTGGTATATGTGAACGACATAACGGAAGGGATAGACTCAGAAGTGTCCTTGTTTGCAGATGATGTGAAGTTATTGAGAAGAATAAAATAGGATGAGGATCTGGCAGGACTACAAAGAGACCTGGACAGGCTACAAGCCTGGTCCAGCAACTGGCTCCTTGAGTTTAACCCTGCCAAATGCAAAGTCATGAAGATTGGAGAAGGGCAAAGAAGACCGCAGACACAATATAGTTTAGATGGCCAAAGACTGCAAACCTCACTCAAGGAAAAAGATCTGGGGGTGAGTATAACACCGAGCATATCTCCTGAGGCGCACATCAGTCAGATAACTGCTGCAGCATACGGACGCCTGGCAAACCTACGGATAGCGTTCCGATACCTCAGTAAGGATTCGTTCAAGACTCTGTATGCCATTTACGTCAGGCCCATACTGGAGTATGCAGCACCAGTTTGGAATCCACACCTAGTCAAGCACGTCAAGAAATTAGAGAAAGTGCAAAGGTTTGCAACAAGGCTAGTCCCAGAGCTACGGGGATTGTCCTACGAAGAAAGGTTGAGGGAAATCGGCCTGACGACTCTGGAGGACAGGAGGGTCAGGGGAGACATGATAATGACACATAAAATACTGCGCGGAATAGACAAGGTGGACAAGACGGATGTTCCAGAGAGGGGACACAGACACAAGAGGTCACAATTGGAAGTTGAAGACTCAGATGAATCAAAGGGATGTTAGGAAGTATTTCTTCAATCATAGAGTAGTCAGGTCATGGAACAGCCTAGAAAGTGACGTAGTGGAGGCGGGAACCATACATAGTTTTAAGGCGAGGTATGATAAAGCTCATGGGGCAGGGAGAGAGAGGACCTAGTAGCAATCAGCGAAGAGGCGGGGCCAGGAGCTATGAATCGACCCCTGCAACCACAAATAGGTGGGTACACACACACACACACACACACACACACACACACACACACACACACACACACACACACACACACACACACACACACACACACACTGCAAGAAGGCCTTTGACACAGTTCCTCACAAGAGATTAGTGCAGAAGCTAGAGCATCAGGCGCATATAACAGGAAGAGCACTGCAATGGATCAGAGAATACCTGACAGGAGGCAACAACGAGTCATGGTACGTAATGATGTATCACAGTGGGCACCTGTGACGAGCGGGGTCCCACAGGGTCGGTCCTAGGACCAGTGCTATTTTTGGTATATGTGAACGACATGACGGAAGGGTTAGACTCAGAATGTCCCTGTTTGCAGATGATGTGAAGTTAATGAGGAGAATTAAATCTGATGAGGACCAGGCAGGACTTCAAAGAGACCTGGACAGACTGGACACCTGGTCCAGCAAATGGCTTCTCGAATTTAATCCTGCCAAATGCAAAGTCATGAAGATAGGGGAAGGGCACAGAAGACCACAGACAGAGTATAGGCTAGGTGGCCAAAGACTGCAAACCTCACTCAAGGAGAAAGATCTTGGGGTGAGTATAACACCGAGCATGTCTCGGAAGCACACATCAATCAGATAACTGCTGCAGCATATGGGCGCCTGGCAAACCTGAGAACAGCATTCCGACACCTTAGTAAGGAATCAATCAAGACACTGTACACCGTGTATGTCAGGCCCATACTGGAGTATGCAGCACCTGTTTGGAACCCGCACTTGATAAAGCACGTCAAGAAACTAGAGAAAGTACAAAGGTTTGCAACAAGGTTAGTTCCAGAGCAAAGGGGGAATGTCCTACGAAGAAAGATTAAGGGAAATCGGCCTGACGACACTGGAGGACAGGAGGGTCAGGGGAGACATGATAACGACATATAAAATACTGCGTGGAATAGACAAGGTGGACAAGGACAGGATGTTCCAGGGAGGGGACACAGAAACAAGAGGCCACAATTGGAAGTTGAAGACACAAATGAGTCAGAGAGATAGTAGGAAGTATTTCTTCAGTCATAGAGTTGTAAGGCAGTGGAATAGCCTAGAAAATGACGTAGTGGAGGCAGGAACCATACACAGTTTTAAGACGAGGTTTGATAAAGCTCATGGAGTGGGGAGAGAGAGGGTCTAGTAGCAACCGGTGAAGAGGCGGGGCCAGGAGCTAGGACTCGACCCCTGCAACCACAAATAGGTGAGTACAAATAGGTGAGTACACACACAGAGGAGCTTGGACTCGACCCCTGCAACCTCAACTAGGTGAGTGAGTACTCTTGTGTATTGACTGAAGAAGTTCCTCTCTGGAATTGTCTTTTTTACTGTGCCTGGTCAGGAACTGGGTGATGGGGGTTGTGACCTACAGAAGATACTCCAGGTGCCTCTTGCCCCTGGGTCTTAACTGATAGTAGCTTTGTTGGGCGATCATGGCTAGTAACCCCCTTCTCCTGTATAAATTACTAAATTTAAAAAGAGAAACTTAAGTTTTTCTTTTTAGGTCACCCTTCCTAGGTGGGATACAGCTGGTACAATACTTGTATAAACATCAACCAGCACCTGCCCTCACTATTGGCAAATAAGCCACATAAACGAGAGTTAATGCTACTACTATATTGTTATGAAGCTCACTGCACTTTATTGTTATCATAACTAATCACTAAACCCAGAAGAGTCATATAGCGTTGCTCACTGTAATTTAAATATATCGACCCAAATAACACTGAACACATACTCTTGTGAAGGCTTTGCTTCCTTAAGAAGTCGATTTTATTCCGGTTATAATCAGATAAATGAAGTTTTATGTGCAAGGGGCCTGGACATGCAGCACGCATGTGTGAACATGTTAGATAGGAGTGAATGGAGACAAGTGGTTTTTGGGACCTGACGAGCTGTTTGGGTGTGAGCAGGGTAATATTTGTGAATGGATTCAGGAAAACTGGTTAGCCAGACTTGATTCCTGAAGGTGGGAAGTAAAATTCCTGCACTCTAAAGGAGGGGTTTGGGATATTAATTGTTTGGAGTGACATCTAAACTGTTGTATCAGAGCTCCTCTACAAAGACAGTGATTATGTGTGAATGATGGTGAAAGTATTTCTTTCTTTTTTGGGTCACCCTGCCTCAGTGGGAGATGGCCAATATGTTAAAAATCTAATAATAATAATGATAATAATAATCATCATCAGAGGCAAATAATGAACAAAGACTGACCTTGTAGACAAGTCCTAAACTTTATTTCAGGCTTTTATATTGTTTGCTTATTTATATTTTTCTTGTAAGTTTAAAATTATATTTTACTAGTCCATGTTATTTTTTTCAGAGGTCACCAGCAATTTGGGTTTTGTCAGGCTGGCACCAGTGGTTTACGTTGGATGATGAAGCAGTACTTGGGGTGCCTGGACCATACACATGGCGTGGAACAGTCCACACTTCTAATATCTCTGATGACTTTTTGCTCAAGGATAAAACACAGTATTTTGGCCCAGTTACTGAAAATGACTCTCCTGTGGACAAGTACAGTTACTTAGGCATGTATTTATATTTGAATCTTTATGCCGTGTAAACAACCACTCAAAAACATGCAAAACCAATTACATAAAATGTGCAGATCCAATTACATAAAATATGCAAATCCAGTTACAATAGAATAAGTGAGTGAAATTTGACAAAAGCCAATTTTTGTAATATTTGATACTTCAAATTTTTATTACTGTAGCAATACTCTTCATAACAATGAATAACTTCATTTTTGTTTAAAACCAAAATCAAGTTGATTTGAAACAGTATTCAGAAAGAATTTAAATCATTACAAAGAACTGTGACCTCATGTTCCTGTCACAGAACTGGATGTAGTTATCATACTGATTACAGTGGACCCCCCGGTTTAACGATGTTATTTCATTCCAGAAATATGTTCAGTGTGCCAGTACTGACCGAATTTGTTCCCATAAGGAATATTGTGAATTAGATTAGTCCATTTCAGACCCCCAAACATACACATACAAACGCACTTACATAAATACACCTTACATAATTGGTCGCATTGGAGCTGATCGTAAACCGGGGGGTCCACTGTAATATAAATTTGAAAAATTTTCCCACTTGAGATTAGCCTTGCAGTTAATATTGCTATTCCATTCTTTATCTTTTCTTCCTTTCTTGTTTCTCAGATGTACATGGTTGACAAAGCATACTTCCAGTTCATATCTTCCTTCTCAGTGGAAGGCACAGTAGTGTGACTGTAAAGTACAGTGTGTCAAAGTTTTTGCCAGGTGTTGAATGTCTTCTTGTGTTTAATACGTACCTAAAATGCATATACTGTTTAAACCTTTACATCTTTACGCTATGAAGAAAATGCATATACAAGATGCAGTCTTAAGAAAGAATATGCAGCTTTTTTAATCTAAAAATACAAAAAACATTATTTTAGATAAGTTTGGAGAGAGGGGGTAAAAGAGGTTTTGTGTGCGAGGGGCTTGGACTTTAGCAATCATGCGTGAGCATGTTAGATAGGAGTGAATAGAGACAAATGGTTTTAAGGACTTTATGTGGTGTTAGTGTGAGCAAGGTAACATTTATGAAGGGATTCAGGGAAACCAGCAGGCTGGACTTGAGTCCTGGAGATGGGAAGTACAGTGCCTGCACTCTGAAGGAGGGGTGTTAATGTTGTAGTTTTATAACTGTAGTGTAAGCATGCCTCTGGCAAGACAGTGGTGGAGTGAATGATGATGAAAGTTTTTCTTTTTCTGGCCACCCTGCCTTGGTGGGAAGCGACCAATGTGTTAATAAAAAAATTAATATTAAAACATTCATACTAACATTGTATGTACAGCTTGACATCACCATTGAGTCCTATGAAAAACAATTACCAGAGTACTATTTTTTTAATTTTCTTCAGTTTAATTGCATTAATTTGCTCTTTCAGGTACTCTGTGACAGCAGGACGCTTCTTTGGTAATTACATGTCGTATGTTGGTGGTGCACCAAGGGCTAATGGAACTGGCGAAGTTGTGTTTTTTAACCCGGGAAAAGATTGGTGTGAGTCTCTTTGCGAGTAGACTTGATACTAAATGGGGAAATGTTTGCTTCAAGCTATGGATTTGAAGTTCTCGCTTTGGATATTAATGGAGACAGGTCAGTAGTAATGCACACATTTACTCTACATTTAATTAAGTTTAATAATATTAATAACATTTAATATTTTGTTGTTTTTGCTTTCTTATCTGTTTCTGATTAGAAATTTTACATTTACTATTATACCTCTTTAACCCTTCAATAGCCCTTCACCAGCCATGTTGCTGGTGAAAGGCTATTAATCCAGGCAATTAGAGTAATTCTACCCTTTCTTGGATACAGCCTGCTTTCCTCTCATTCCCCAAGCACCATATGACTCTTAACCCTTTGACTGTCGCGGCCGTATATGTACGTTTACGAGGTACCGTGTTTGACGTATATATACTCATAAATTCTAGCGGCTTCAAATCGGGCAGGAGAAAGCTGGTAGGCCCACATGTGAGAGAATGGGTCTGTGTGGTCAGTGTGCACCATATAAAAAAAATCCTGGAGCATGCAGTGCATAATGAGAAAAAAAAACTCAGACCGTTTTTTTTAATTAAAATGCCGACTTTGTGGTCTATTTTCGTATAGTATTTGTGGTTGTATTCTCGTTTTCTTGGTCTCATTTGATAGAATGGAAACTATATTAAAGAAATAGAGGTGATTTTGATTAATTTTACTATAAAAAGAACCTGAAAATGGAGCACAAAGTACAGGAAATGTTTGATTTTTGCCGATGTTCAAAAGTAAACAAATGATGTCATTGTCCAATAAATGTCCAAATAGCCATTCTAATATGCAGCCATGAATGGGTTGATGTAATTTTTACAATTATTACAGTATTGCAGTAGTCTGCATAACAGTAAATCTTCTATTTTTTGTTTGAATAAAATTTCAAAATAAAAAACAAGAGTAATATCACAGGGGCCTGGAGACATGACTGATGAACAAAGAAAATGTTATTTTAGAGCCAGGAATGTCTGCATTGTTCATTCTGGTCCTTATTTTGAAATTGTCATATTTTTTAATTTTCGTGAAATTGGCCAAATTGCAAATTTCTGACCATGTTATTAGGTAGTTGAAATCGGTAAATCGGCAGTTTCTTGTACTCAGTCGATGGAAAAAATGGAGTTCTGAAGAAATAGCTATGAGTTTGGTTGACTGGAATAATGGAATTAGCCGAAAATAGGGCTCAAAGTGGGCGAAATCGCCGATTTTTAAATATCGCCGAGGTCGCTAACTTCGCGAGAGCGTAATTCCGTCAGTTTTCCATCAAATTTCGTTTTTTTGGTGTCTTTACAATCGGGAGAAGATTCTCTATCATTTCATAAGAAAAATAATTTTTTTTTTTAAATTTTGCGACACCAGGAGACACCTCAGGATTGGGGGTTGTGACAGTCAAAGGGTTAACAGGCTTGGCAATTCCCCTATAAATATTTAACAAGAACAGTAATAATAATAATACCTGGAGTATACCTGGAGAATACCTGGAGAGGGTTTTGGGGGGTCAATGCCCCTGTGGCCTGGTCTGTGATCAGGCCTCAGGGTGGATCAGGGCCTGATCAACCAGGCTGTTATGGTTGGCCGCATACAACCCAACGTACGAACCTCAGCCCGGCTGGTCAGGTACTGACTTTAGGTGCCTGTCCAATGCCTTCTTGAAGACAGCCAGGGCTCGATTGATAATCCCCTTTATGTATGCTGGAAGGCAGTTGAACAATCTTGGGCCTCTGACACTTACTGTATTGTCTCTTATCATGCTAGTGGTACCCCTGCTTTTCATTGGGGGGATGTTGCATCCTCTGCTGAGTCTTTTGCTTTCATAGGGAGTGATTTTTGTGTGCAAGTTTTGTACTAATCCCTCTAGGATTTTCCAAGTGTATATAATCGTGTATCTCTCCTACTTGCATTCTAAGGAGTACAGGTTGAGGAGCTTCAAACGTTACCAGTAATTGAGGTGTTTTATCACAGTTATGTGTGCTGTGAAGATTCTCTGTACACTTTGTAGGTCAGCAATTTCACATGCCTTGAAAGGTGCTGTTAGTGTGCAGCAATATTCCAGCCTAGATAGAACAAGTGACCTGAAGAGTGCCATCATGGGCTTGGCATCCCTAGTTTTGAAGGTTCTCATTATCCATCCTGTCATTTTTCTAGCAGATGCGATTGATGCAATGTTATGGTCTTTGAAGATGAGATCCTCTGACATGATCACTCCCAGGTCTTTTACATTAGTTTTTCGCTCTATTGTGTGGTTGGAATTTATTTTATACTCTGATATAGTTTTAATTTCTTCACGTTTTCCATATCGAAGTAATTGAAATTTCTCATCGTTGAACTTCATATTGTTTTCTGCAGCCTTTTTAAAGTAATAATAATTATAGTAATAGTAATGGTAGTAGGTTTGTAGACAGCAACCACCCAGGGAGGTACTACCGTCCTGCCAAGTGAGTGTAAAATGAAAGCCTGTGATTGTTTTACATGATGGTAGGATTGCTGATGTCTTTTGTCTGTCTCATAAATATGCAAGATTACAGGTATGTCTTGCTACTTCTGCTTACACTTAGGTCACACTACACATACATGTACACATTTATTTATACACACTCATCTGAGTTTTCTTTGATTTTATCTTAATAGTTCTTGGTCTTATTACTTTTCCTTTTATATCCATGGGGAAGTGGAATAAGAATCTTTCCTCCGTAAGCCATGCGTGTTGTAAAAGTCAACTAAAATGCCGGGAACAATGGGCTAGTAACCCTTTTTCCTGTAAAGATTACTAAAAAGAATAAGAAGAAGAAAATTGTCAAAGTGGGAAGTCTGAATGTGCGTGGATGTTGTGCAGATGATAAGAAAGAGATGAGTGTGGATGTTATGAATGAGAAGAAGCTGGATGTCCTGGCTTTAAGTGAAACAAAGCTGAAGGGGGTGGGAGAGTTTCAGTGGAGAGGAATAAATGGGATTAGGTCAGGGGTTTCAAATAGAGTTAGAGCTAAAGAAGGAGTAGCAATAATGTTGAAGGATAAGCTATGGCAGGAAAAGAGGGACTATAAATGTATTAATTCAAGGATTATGTGGAGTAAAATAAAGATTGGATGTGAAAAGTGGGTTATAATAAGCGTGTATGCACCTGGAGAAGAGAGAAGTGTAGAGGAGAGAGAGAGAGATTTTGGAAATGTTGAGTGAATGCGTGGGGAGTTTGAATCAAGTGTGAGAGTAATGGTGGTTGGGGATTTCAATGCTAAAGTGGGTAAAAATGTTATGGAGGGAGTAGTAGGTAAATTTGGGGTGCCAGGGGCAAATGTAAATGGGGATCCTTTAATTGAGCTATGTGTAGAAAGAGATTTGGTAATAAGTAATACATATTTTATGAAAAAGAGGATAAATAAATATACAAGGTATGATGTAGCACGTAATGAAAGTAGTTTATTAGATTATGTATTGGTGGATAAAAGGTTGAGGGGTAGGCTCCAGATGTACATGTTTATAGAGGGGCAACTGATATATCGGATCATTATTTAGTTGTAGCTACAGTTGAGTAAGAGGTAGATGGGAAAAGAGGAAGGTGGCAACAACAAGTAAGAGGGAGGTGAAAGTGTTAAAACTAAGGGAGGAGGAAGTTCGGGTGAGATATAAGCGACTATTGGCAGAAAGGTGGGCTAGTGCAAAGATGAGTAGTGGGGGGGTTGAAGAGGGTTTGGAATAGTTTTAAAAATGCAGTATTAGAATGTGGGGCAGAAGTTTGTGGTTATAGGAGGGTGGGGCAGGAGGAAAGTGGAGTGATTGGTGGAATGATGAAGTAAAGGGTGTGATAAAAGAGAAAAAGGTAGCTTATGAGAGGTTTTTACAAAGCAGAAGTGTTATAAGAAGAGCAGAGTATATGGAGAGTAAAAGAAAGGTAAAGAGAGTGGTGAGAGAGTGCAAAAGGAGAGCAGATGATAGAGTGGGAGAGGCACTGTCAAGAAATTTTAATGAAAATAAGAAAAAATTTTGGAGTTAAACAAGTTAAGAAAGCCTAGGGAAAGTATGGATTTGTCAGTTAAAAACAGAGTAGGGGAGTTAGTAGATGGGGAGATGGAGGTATTAAAGGTAGATGGCGAGAATATTTTGAGGAACTTTTAAATGTTAAGGAAGAAAGAGAGGCAGTAATTTCATGCACTGGTCAGGGAGGTATACCATCTTTTAGGAGTGAAGAAGAGCAGAATGTAAGTGTGGGGGAGGTACGTGAGGCTTTACGTAAAATGAAAGGGGGTAAAGCAGCTGGAACTGATGGCATCATGACAGAAATGTTAAAAGCAGGGGGGGATATAGTGTTGGAGTGGCTGGTACTTTTGTTTAATAAATGTATGAAAGAGGGGAAGGTACCTAGGGATTGGCAGAGAGCATGTATAGTCCCTTTATATAAAGGGAAAGGGGACAAAAGAGACTGTAAAAATTATAAAGGAATAAGTTTACTGAGTATACCAGGAAAAGTGTACGGTAGGGTTATAATTGAAAGAATTAGAGGTAAGACAGAATGTAGGATTGCGGATGAGCAAGGAGGTTTCAGAGTGGGTAGGGGATGTGTAGATCAAGTGTTTACATTGAAACATATATGTGAACAGTATTTAGATAAAGGTAGGGAAGTTTTTATTGCATTTATGGATTTAGAAAAGGCATATGATAGAGTGGATAGAGGAGCAATGTGGCAGATGTTGCAAGTACAGTGGACCCCCGCATAACGATCACCTCCGAATGCGACCAATTATGTAAGTGTATTTATGTATGTGCGTTTGTACGTGTATGTTTGGAGGTCTGAAATGGACTAATCGACTTCACAATATTCCTTATGGGAACAAATTCGGTCAGTACTAGCACCTGAACATACTTCTGGAGTGAAAAAATATCGTTAACCGGGGGTCCACTGTATATGGAATAGGTGGTAAGTTATTAAATGCTGTAAAGAGTTTTTATGAGGATAGTGAGGCTCAGGTTAGGGTGTGTAGAAGAGAGGGAGACTACTTCCCGGTAAAAGTAGGTCTTAGACAGGGATGTGTAATGTCACCATGGTTGTTTAATATATTTATAGATGGGGTTGTAAAGGAAGTAAATGCTAGGGTGTTCGGGAGAGGGGTGGGATTAAATTTTGGGGAATCAAATTCAAAATGGGAATTGACAGTTACTTTTTGCTGATGATACTGTGCTTATGGGAGGTTCTAAAGAAAAATTGCAAAGGTTAGTGGATGAGTTTGGGAATGTGTGTAAAGGTAGAAAGTTGAAAGTGAACATAGAAAAGAGTAAGGTGATGAGGGTGTCAAATGATTTAGATAAAGAAAAATTGGATATCAAATTGGGGAGGAGGAGTATGGAAGAAGTGAATGTTTTCAGATACTTGGGAGTTGACGTGTCGGCGGATGGATTTATGAAGGATGAGGTTAATCATAGAATTGATGAGGGAAAAAGGGTGAGTGGTGCGTTGAGGTATATGTGGAGTCAAAAAACGTTATCTATGGAGGCAAAGAAGGGAATGTATGAAAGTATAGTAGTACCAACACTCTTATATGGGTGTGAAGCTTGGGTGGTAAATGCAGCAGCAAGGAGACGGTTGGAGGCAGTGGAGATGTCCTGTTTAAGGGCAATGTGTGGTGTAAATATTATGCAGAAAATTCGGAGTGTGGAAATAAGGAAAAGGTGTGGAGTTAATAAAAGTATTAGTCAGAGGGCAGAAGAGGGTTTGTTGAGGTGGTTTGGTCATTTAGAGAGAATGGATCAAAGTAGAATGACATGGAAAGCATATAAATCTATAGGGGAAGGAAGGCGGGGTAGGGGTCGTCCTCGAAAGGGTTGGAGAGAGGGGGTAAAGGAGGTTTTGTGGGAAAGGGGCTTGGACTTCCAGCAAGCGTGCGTGAGCGTGTTAGATAGGAGTGAATGGAGACGAATGGTACTTGGGACATGACGATCTGTTGGAGTGTGAGTAGGGTAATATTTAGTGAAGGGATTCAGGGAAACCGGTTATTTTCATATAGTAGGACTTGAGTCCTGGAAATGGGAAGTACAGTGCCTGCACTTTAAAGGAGGGGTTTTGGGTATTGGCAGTTTGGAGAGATATGTTGTGTATCTTTATATGTGTATGCTTCTAAACTGTTGTATTCTGAGCACCTCTGCAAAAACAGTGATAATATGCGAGTGTGGTGAAAGTGTTGAATGATGATGAAAGTATTTTCTTTTTGGGGATTTTCTTTCTTTTTTGGGTCACCCTGCCTTGGTGGGAGATGGCCGACTTGTTGAAAAAAAAAAAAAGTAATAATAGTACTATGTCATAGTAATACTTATGTAATAATAATAATTTTAGGTACTGTAGTAGGTTTATAAACAGCAACCACTCAGGGAGGTACTACCGTCCTGCCAAGTGAGCGTAAAACGAAAACCTGTAATTGTTTTACATGATGGTAAGATTGCTGGTGTCCTTTTTTCTGTCTCATAAACATGCAAGATGTCAGGTACCTCTTACTACTTCTACTTGTAAAGTAAAAGGACCCAAGTGCAACTAATGTGACATTTATTGAGGCAACGCTTCGCTCTCCAGGAGCTTTATCAAGCTCCTGGAGAGCGAAGCGTTGCCACAATAAATGTCACATTAGTTGCACTTGTGTCCTTTTACTTTACATATTGTCAGTAATTCTACCAACTTTATTACTACTTCTACTTACACTTGGGTCACACTACACATACATGTACAAGCATATATATACACACCCTTCTGAGTTTTCTGCTATTTTCTTTCTAGTTCTTGTTCTTGTTCTTGTTCTTGTTTATTTTCTGTTATCTCCATGGGGAAGTGGAACAGAATTCTTCCTCCGTAAGCCATGCGTGTTGTAAGAGGCGACTAAAATACCGGGGACAAGGGGCTAATAACCCCTTCTTTTGTATAAATTACTAAATTTAAAAAGAAAAACTTTCGTTTTTCTTTTTGGGCCACCCTGCCTTGGTGGGATATGGCCGGTTTGTTGAAAAAAAAAAGAAATAATAATTTTAGGTAGTAGGTTTATAAACAGCAACCGCTCAGGAAGGTACTACCGTCCTGCCAAGTGAGTGTAAAATGAAAGCCTGTAATTGTTTTACATGATGGTAGGATTCCTGGTGTCTTTTTTTCTGTCTCATAAACATGCAGAATTTCAGGTATGTCTTGCTACTTCTACTTACACTTAGGTCACACTACACATACATGTACAAGCATATAGTTCCTTGATAATGTGAGTAGTCACGAAAGCGCTTAGAATTTCTCTATTCTTTCAGAGTGGTTGTTTTGCATATTCTGAAATCACCTGTTTACTGTGATCTTATTGCATATATATATATATATATATATATAAACACACCCATCTGGGTTTCCTTCTATTTTCTTACTAGTTCTTGTTCTTGTTTATTTCCTGATATCTCCATGGGGAAGTGGAACAGAATTCTTTCTTTGTAAGCCATGCATGTTGTAAGAGGCGACTATAATGCCGGAAGCAAGGGGCTAGTAACCCCTTCTCCTGTACAAATTACTAAATTTAAAAAGAAAAACTTTCATTTTTCTTTTTGGGCCACCCTGCCTCGGTGGGATACGGCCGGTTTGTTGAAAGAAAAATAATAATAATAATAGCAATAATAATATGTAACTGAAAAATGAAATGTATATCATTATTTTTTATGATTTCAGACGTGATGATCTTATTGTCAGCGCTCCTTTCTACTACACTAGCACTTCCAGTGGAGCTGTATATGTTTATATGAATAATGATGGAGGTTTTGTTCACAATCATCCTTATACAAAGATTGAAGGTTTGTCTCCTAAATAATCTTGAGTTTTTTTACCACTTAATTTCTAATCATTAACAATTAACATAAAAATACCCAATGTATTCTGGTCAAAGTAAGTATGACAAGAGCCCAGAGGATGCTAGATTTTTTAATTTGCAAATGGGCTATGAGAAATGCCCATAAAGTAAAATTAGAAAGTTCATATCTATGTAGAAAACTATTAAATCCTTAGCAACTTCAAGAAGTTGCCTTAATGCTAGTAAGAGGCCCTTGATCCAAGGAATCTGCACTTAGTGGTGCCCTATTTATTCATTTAGATTCCACACTCCTGCTTAATTGCTGTGCATACTCTTCAAAGCAGTAAGTGCATATATACTCTTTATGTTATAGTTTTTTCATCAAAACATACATTTTTTTTTTTTTTTTTTTTTTCAACAAGTCGGCCGTCTCCCACCGAGGCAGGGTGACCCAAAAAAGAAAGAAAATCCCCAAAAAAGAAATACTTTCATCATCATTCAACACTTTCACCACACTCGCACATTATCACTGTTTTTGCAGAGGTGCTCAGAATACAACAGTCTAGAAGCATACACATATAAAGATACACAACATATCCCTCCAAACTGCCAATATCCCAAACCCCTCCTTTAAAGTGCAGGCATTGTACTTCCCATTTCCAGGACTCAAGTCCGACTATATGAAAATAACCGGTTTCCCTGAATCCCTTCACTAAATATTACCCTGCTCACACTCCAACAGATCGTCAGGTCCCAAGTATCATTCGTCTCCATTCACTCCTATCTAACACGCTCACGCACGCTTGCTGGAAGTCCAAGCCCCTTACCCACAAAACCTCCTTTACCCCCTCTCTCCAACCCTTTCGAGGACGACCCCTACCCCGCCTTCCTTCCCCAAAACATACATGTACCAACTATTTTGCATAATTTTTCTTCATTTTTTCATAAAATTGTTTTCTTATTCACAATACTGTGCCTATGGGAGACTCTAAAGAAAAATTGCATTGGTTAGTGGATGAGTTTGGAAGTGTATGTAAAGGTAGAAAGTTGAAAGTGAACATAGAAGTGAACATAGAAAAGAGTAAGGTGATGAGGGTATCAAATGATTTAGATAAAGAAAAATTGGATATCAAATTGGGGAGGAGGAGTATGGAAGAAGTGAATGTTTTCAGATATTTGGGAGTTGATGTGTCAGCAGATGGATTTATGAAGGATGAGGTTAATCATAGAATTGATGAAGAAAAAATGGTGAGTGGTGCATTGAGGTATATGTGGAGGCAAAAAATGTTATCTATGGAGGCAAAGAAGGGAATGTATGAAAGTATAGTAGTACCAACACTCTTATTTGGTTGTGAGGCTTGGGTTGTAAATGCTGCAGTGAGGAGGTGGTTGGAGGCAGTGGAGATGTCCTGTCTAAGGGCAATGTGTGGTATGAATATTATGCAGAAAATTCAGAATGTGGAAATTAGGAGAAGGTGTGGAGTTAATAAAAATATTAGTCAGAGGGCTGAAGAGGGGTTGTTGAGGTGGTTTGGTCATTTAGAGAGAATGGATCAAAGTAGTATAACATGGATTGTGTATAAATCTGTAGGGGAAGGAAGGCGGGGTAGGGGTCATCCTCGAAAAGGTTGGAAGGAGGGGGTGAAGGAGGTTTTGTGGGTGAGGGGCTTGGACTTCCAGCAAGCATGCATGAGCGTGTTAGATAAGAGTGAATGGAAACGAATGGTATTTGGGATATGACGAGCTGTTGGAGTATGAGCAGGGTAATATTTATTGAAGGGGTTTGGGGAAACCGGTTATTTTTGTATAGCCGGACTTGAGTCCTGGAAATGGGAAGTACAATGCCTGCACTTTAAAGGTGGGGTTTGGGATATTGGCAGTTTGGAAGGATATGTTGTGTATCTTTATACGTATATGCTTCTAAACTGTTGTATTCTGAGCACCTCTGCAAAAACAGTGATTATGTGTGAGTGAGGTGAAAGTGTTGAATGATGATGAAAGTATTTTCTTTTGGGGGATTTTTCTTTCTTTTTTGGGTCATCCTGCCTCGGTGGGAGACGGCTGACTTGCTAAAAAAAAAAATAATCATAAGTACAGTAAATACATATTTAAACATCAACCTTATTTCAGAAAAGCATGCTGAATTACTGATTTGAAGAATTGTTTATTTTAGAGGTTTCAGTGAATTGCTCAGAAATCGCGAGCTATCAGCTTCACCTCCTGAACATTCCTTTTCAGACCTTCCTACCGTTTTCAACTCTTGCTTCATTTTCCTTCTATTTTCTAAATGGATTCCAATTTCTGTATCATTTTGCATTATCCCTGTTGCTTAGAACCAATTTGTACAACCTGAGTTGTAGCAGTTTGCATGACTAAGTACCAGTCTTTATGGCTCATTGAAACATAGGCAGAGAGAAGCTTTGCATTCTTTAAAACACAAATACAAATGCCAGTATTTTTCATCAAAGGAAGCAATTGGAACTGAAATAAGGAAATTGCATGATACAGTACAGTACTGTACTGTAACACATACAGTGGAGAACCTTGATGATTGTGGTCAGTTTTTATGAGCACATTCTGTGAATATGTGGGTGGGCATTTCCACTTTGTGTTAGTTATAAAATTCTTGAACATTGCATTTATGCCCAGTCATTCTAATTTTCACATTCAGCATGCCTAAACATCCTTGTGCAAGCAGTGAAAGAAACAGGTCACATAATATTGTTGCAACAATGTGAGAATTTAGAGAATTATTTAGCACTTCCTTATTAATAATAATAATAATAATAATAATAATAATAATAATAATAGAGAATGATTTAAGTGGCTCTGGCTAGTCATTTAGGTGTTATACTCATTTTTGTTTATATTGCTAGTACAGGCCATTTCACACCATGACTAAAAGTACAAGTACCTGTTATTTTTGTGATCCAGATTATGCCAGATCAGACACCCATAGAATTGGTGTGAATTGTCCCATAGCTTGGCCTGTGACTGACTCTTTGATACACTGGGGAGAAAAGTTAAAACCATCATAGTTTCCTAACCAATGGTACAGGAGGACCCTGCTTATGCAGCAGGTTAGGCTCCAGCCTACTGCTGTAAAGTGAAACATAACCTCTCTTCACTTTCAAATGTATATAAAAGCCTAATAATAAATTTACACTATCATATATTAAGTGAGCAATAGAGCTAGGTCTAAAAAATGCATATACAGTACACTCATTACTTATCTTAAAATATTTTCATCCTTAGCATATGGTGAGTGGTGAAAACATTTATTGTAGGAAGTCTGAATAAATGATGAATGTGTGTAATTGAAAACCTCTGCATTAGTGAAATGTCGTAAAGTGAAGTGCTGCAAAGCGGGACCTGCCTGTACTTTGTTGTTGTTATTATTATTACAATAAAAAAGAAGCGCTAAACCCATTAGGGTCATACAGTGCTGTTCCTGTACTTTGTAAAACATGTAAGGAAGCATTTCCATAAGTTGACATTGGTGGATTCCACAGGTATATAAGGAATTTATTTATTTGTGAGTAAGCAAGTGTGTTTGAGTGGCTAAACTTGGAGAGGACTTGCATGCAGTGCTCAGGACTTGCTCTGCATAGCAGGAAGGAAATACTATATTTTTTAATCCCTCTCCTATCCTCTTCATTTAGGACCTACAACAATGGATCCTGTATAAGTAGTACATTCTCTCTATTCAGATTATGTTTGACAGTTCCTGTTCATGCTCAGTTTTAACTGGTTATCAGTATGCTACTTCAAAGTTACCTATGTTCCAGTTCCATCTACCTCCATTGAAATAGGGTGCTGGTGGTAAGATTACTAGCAATTTATCAGAAACTATGCAGAATATACAGAATACTACTTTTAAAAGTATGGAAAACACATTTCTGTTTAAGATTTGACAAGCCATGGAGATTGCTACTTTCTTTGTCAACTGTTGCAATTCAGGTTGTTTGAATGAGTATTCATAGATGCAATCATAGAAAATGAAGGGTGGAAGTGGGCCAACTAAGCTAAAAATACATGGGAAATCCTAAAATTAGTTCAAATTCAAATTCAATTCAAAGTTTATTCTCTATAAGGATTACAATGCTGAGTTTACAGAAATTTGGTTATTGTTTGGTTTACATGTAGTAAAATTGTGATTACAGAGTGTACCACTAGAACGCTTAGCATGGCTAGGCATTTCGGGCATACTTAGTTTTATTCTTAATTGTAAAATATTACAAATTATGAGGTAAGTTGGTATTATGGCTAAGTGACTAAATACTAGTTTGTGAGTTTAGCAATGTGAATGCTTTTGTTTTGGCACAGTACATAGTTTCAGTATTGGAGTATCACAGGATTCATTATTTTAAGACTGAGATTAATATTTCTGTTTATGGTCAAATGAGTGAGTGAGTGTAAGTGTGAACCACCAGGTGGTATTCGTGTAGTTAGTTGACGGGGTGTATCAGGGAGATAAGATGTTTTCTAATGGTAGTTTTGAAGGTGATGAATGTGTCTGCAGTTCTAGAGTTCTCAGGTAGGGTATTCCAGATTTTAGGGCCTTTGACATACATTGAATTTTTGTAAAGGTTTAGTCGGACACGGGGAATGTCGTAGAGATGTTTGTGTCTGGTGTTATGCCTGTGGGTTCTGTCACAACTATCAGGAAAGCGTTTTAGGTCAAGGTTGATATTAGAGTTTAAGGCCCTGTAGATATAGATTGCACAGTAGTAAGTGTGGATGTACTGAACTGGGAGTAAGTTTAGATCTATGAAGAGTGGGGGGGTGTGTTGCCAGGGATGGGATTTAGTGATTATTCTTACTGCAGCTTTTTGTTGTTGGGGATGTAACACATAGGTTGTAGTGATTTGGTTGATTTTTATACAAAATTTTCTGTTTTTCATGCTTCTAAATGGGGGGTAATAAATACACATGGTAGTCTAGCCAGAGTGGTCAAACAAGTCAAGTTTTCTTAAATTAAATTCTTTCAAAAATTTGTATTTTGAATTGGAAGATATATTCATGATAATAAATATGGCATTTTAATTTGCACCAGAACTAACAAAGCAACTTAACATAAAATTTACTTAATATTGCTTAGTGCTGCTTAACATAGATAAGAAGAACATAAATGAAGTATATACAGTAATTTCTTAATTTTCAGAGGCTTATAGTTCTAGAAGTACTACTTTGTCACACAAAAATTGTATACTAAAATATAGGGAAAATCATATTGTGTGTAAATAAAGTTATGTACATACATGCTGCTTTCTTATCCAAGGTCTAGGTCTTGCATACGACAAGATTACCAGGGCACTTCCTTCGGAAAATCAAGGTGAAGCCAGATATAACAAGAGAGTTATTGGTGTAGTATTTTATTTTTGTGGAATTCACTCATGGCACATGTCAAGAGCAAAAATATCTGTATAATGCATATTGTAGTAAAACTAATATCCGATTTTCTTACAATCTGTGTCTTTGCTCTTCTTAGTTTTCTATTGATTATGGTGATACTGTTTTAGACATCTACAGTATTGTAGTACTGTTAGGTCATGCCTATTTGTATGCAAAATTTCATGATATGGAATATATGTGCACCTGTAGTGTAGCCGGTTAGAAATTCTAGTAATGAAAATATCTCAAAACTGTACTGTATATGCATGAGACATTACTTTCTTAAAAATCTAGTTACAAGTAATTACTTTAAAAAAATGATTATGTTGTCTAGATCCTCATTTTTAGAATACTGTACTGTATAAAAATAGCATAAACTACAAAATAAATGTATGGAACTGTAATATGTTTACATTTATTTCATACGTACTGCATGTTGAAAAGTTTATTCAGCTTTAAATACAATTATTATTTTATTTTAAAGTAATCAAATCATTATATTTTATTAGCACTCTGTGCTTAAATTCAGCAAAACACACACTGTATTGCTAAGTAAATACAAGACATTTCTTTGCTTTTAAAATACTGCATAAATTTTTAAGTCAGGTTCCCCAAAATAAAAGCTTATACAAATTGGTTACTTGTGCATTTCTGAAAAGTTGTATCATTTAATTTGTATTTTAACTATGGTTCTGTCTTCCTTGTATCAGGTGCTCCAGGGGAAAGTCGATTTGGTTTTTCCATGACTTCTCTTGGTGACTTGAATCGTGATGGCTTTTTAGATGTTGCCATTGGAGCTCCCTACGAGGGCCGTGGAGCCATTTACATATTCTTAGGATCTAGTAATGGGCTAATCAAGGAACCAGTACAGGTACCATGTTTATTGTTCAATTTGATTTACTACTATAGTATATACATTTACTTGTAGTATTAAAAGAATTTTATTGCCAGGAATATTTTACTTGTTATACGTTTGCAGCACATTTTTCCTTCATTCTGGAATCAGGGATGGAGGCAGGTAAAGTATTTTTATCCATTAAATTATGTTTGATACCTTTGATATTTAAAAGTTAACCCATTCATAAACATAGAGAGAAGAATAGATAGAATGAAATAGTTCAATTGTAACCCCCTATTTTTTTTTGCAGGTACTGTTTATTATTACAGAATTTGGTTTTATTTTACTAATTGGTGGGGAAATGGCTGTCCTATATAAATTCCCTTAACCATGTTTACATACAAACATTACCTCTTCAATGGCTTAAATTCATAACAAATGGACTGTCCGTCTATAATGTTGAAATGGTTTGACTATAGTTATGTTAAATATGTTAAGTCATTTTGGACAGATGACTAAATTTAATGTATTTCAACCCTTTAACTGTGACATGCTCAAAAATAAAATCTCTTGTGTGTGTGTGTGTGTGCACCAAGAGTTTGAAAACAAATTCATTTTCTTATTGTTTGAAGGTGTGTATTTTCCAAGTATAATGAAACAAAAAAAGGAACAGAATTGGATGAAAACTTATGATTTTATGGTATTTTGAAGATGGCAGAAAATTATCTCTTGTCGGAAACATCAGGGTACACATTACAGTGATATTTGCATGTTACAATTTATTGATGATTATTTTTCAAATTTTTTATTGTTTTGAATACTACCTAACATTATTCACACTAGTTTCTTACGACATTAAATACTGTTACTTTAGTTGCTCGAATTGTATTGCATAATTAGTGGCTTTCTTTTGTTCCTTCCATTGTATGATTTCATATGAACTCCATCATTTGTACAGCATAAATAAATGAATAGGAGTGGATGGAGACGAATGGATTTTGGGACCTGACGAGCTGTTGGAATGTGAGCAGGGTAATATTTTGTGAAGGGATTCAGGGAAACTGGTTAGCTGGACTTGAGTCTTGGAACTGGGAAGTACAATGCCTGCACTTAATTAAAGAAGGGGTTTGGGATTTTAGCAGTTTGGAGTGACTATCTAAACTGTCGTATCTGGGCGCCTCTGCAAAAGATAGTGATTATGTACAAGTGATGGTGAAAGTATTGACTGATAATGAAAGTTTTTTCTTTATTTTTGGGTTTTCCTTCTCTTGGGTCACCCTGCCTTGGTGGGAGATGGCCGATGTGTTAAAAAAAGATATTATCATTTTTTATTGTTATTATTACTGTCGTGCTTAAGACATGGGGGAAATTCATAGCCAAACATTGCTTAACTTAGAATAACAAAAAAAGGCACAATACCGTGGCTGGAATGATACACAAATAACCCGCACATAGAAGAGAGGAGCTTACAACGATGTTTCGGTCTGACTTGGACCATTTACAAAGTCACACTAACGAAAAGGAGAGTGGGAAGGGTATATATAGGCAGGAGGTAGTAGTAGTAGTAGTAGTGGAGGTTGAAGGAGGTAGTATTTGGGAGGTAGTAAGAGGAGGAGGAGCCAGTCAAATACTAAGAAAGAGGAGCACTGCAAGGGAGCTAGGTGCCCACAGAGGGTTAGAGCAAGAACACCAAGGGGGGGGGGAATAAATAAATAAAGAAGGAACAGATACACAGTGCAGAAGAAAGACAACCCAAAGGAAAAAAAAGAAAGAGGAAAGGGAAAGAGGGAGAAGAAGAAAAAGGAGGAATCAGATAGGTCATGGGTGTTCTGAAGGTTGGAGCATTTTACAATGTAGTGGGAAAGGAAGGCATCTACAGAGACAAAGCCAGGACTAAGATTCATACAAGGAAAATTTTTATTAGGGAGGATTCAACCAGACGGCGACTGTTAAAGTTGGAAGTAGGGAAGACAGTTTTAGCAGAAGACCAGTCACTAGGATGGCTGTGATCTCTGACGTGACAGAAGAGAGCATTGTTAGTGTTGGCAAGCCTAGCACTACTTTTATGCTCCCTAAGTCTGTCAGAAAGAGATTGGCCAGTTTCTCCAAAGTATTGAAGAGGACAGGAGGAGCAAGAAATAGAGTAGACACCAGGAGCGTCTGTAGAGGAAGGAGAGATATGAACGAGATTAGCGCAAAAAGTGTTAGTCTGACAGAAAGTAAGTTTGACATCTAAGGAATGGAGAGAGTTGTTGAGATTAGAAAGACCGGAAATGTAGGGAAGGCAGAGGACAGAAGAGTTCCCAGGAGCAGAGAGTTTGGGAGAGAAGAAATTACGTTTAGCACGTGAAAAGGCAGAGCCTATGAAATGGGAAGGGTAGCCAAGACGGGAAAATGAGTTATGAAGAGTGGAAATTTCTGATTGAAGGAATCGAGGATCACAAATGTGGAGAGCACGGAGAAAGAGGGAGATAAGAACACTTTTCTTAACAGAGGAAGAATGATAAGAAAAGTAGTGAATGTACATGCCACTGTGCATAGGTCTGCGATAAACGGAAAAGGCAAAACCTGTATTTGAGCGGTGGACATGAACATCATGGAAAGGAAGCAAGGAATTAGATTCCCATTCAACTTTAAACTTAATGGAAGGGGCAAGATTATTAAGAGCATCAAGAAATGGTTGGAAGAGACAAGAGTCATGAGGCCACAGAGCAAAGATGCCATCTACATAGCAGAGCCAGAGTGAAGGACGCACATCGATAGTAGGAAGAAGAACAGTCTCAAAGTATTCCATGTAAAGATTAGCAAGGACAGGAGAGAGAGGAGAGCCCATAGTGACACCAAAGGTTTGAGAATAATATTTCTCTTGGAAAGAAAAGGAATTAGAGTCCACACAGAGGTGGATAAGATTCACTTGGAATCTTTTCTCTCAACACACCGGCCGTATCCCACCGAGGCGGGGTGGTCCAAAAGGAAAAACGAAAGTTTCTCCTTTTACATTTAGAAATATATACAGGAGAAGAGGTTACTAGCCCCTTGCTCCCGGCATTTTAGTCGCCTCTTACAACACGCAAGGCTTACGAGGAAGAATTCTGTTCCACTTCCCCATGGAGGTAAGAGGAAATAAACAAGAACAAGAACCATAAGAAAAATGGAAGAAAACCCAGAGGGGTGTGTATATACATATATGCTTGTACATGTATGTGTAGTGTGACCTAAGTGTAAGTAGAAGTAGCAAGACGTACCTGAAACCTTGCATGTTTATGAGACAGAAAAATGGACACCAGCAATCCTACCATCATGTAAAACAATTACAGGTTTCTGTTTTACACTCACTTGGCAGGATGGTAGTACCTCCCTGGGTGGTTGCTGTCTACCAACCTACTACCTAGGTCACTTGGAATATACAGTATAAATTGGTGCAAATAATTTGTTTATATTTTTACTGTTTTGATCTTATAACTCTGTGTACAAGGACCACTGATAATAATACAATTGTTTCAAGGTGTAATGCTTGTCAAATTCATTGAACTAAATCACATTATATGACTTTCTTAGGTCATCCTGTATTAAACATTGTTATTATATTTAGGCTCAAGGGAATATCCTGGATTATAGAAACATAATGTAATTTCTGTGTGTCCAAAACGATTGTGTACCATCAAGAGCCCTTTAAAAACATATATTTGCAAGGAAATATTATGATATTATAATTGTTTCAAGGTGTAATTCTCATTGAAACAGAAAAAGGGTTTTTGGTATTTAACAAACTGCTCAATTGTATGGCAGTACTTACAACAGGATTCAGGAAACCAGTGAGTTGGACTTGAACTTTAGAGACAGGAAATACAATGCATGCACTTTAGAATGTAGAAATGTTGTGGTTTGTTGAGTCTTCATTGGGCAGTAATATTTGTGACCCTCTGGAGTGGAAGCTAGGGAGTGAATAATGGTGAGTGTGTTTTCTTTGAGTCACTGCACAAGCTAAGAGCATCACAAGTCATTGCATATTTTTTACGTTCTCTGATTTTTATCATGTGTGTTTCTTGATCTTCTCTTTCTTTCACTTGTTCCATTAACGTTGTGGGAATTCTATCCTTTCACCCGATGTGCCTCCCTTCTGCATTTTGTTCTTGTTTTCCACCATACAAACTATATTGGTGCAGCCCCTACCATATTTTTCATGTATACTTAGACAAGAAAAATAGCTTTTTGTGTTTTTCTTCAAAGTTAAAATAATATTGGTTGGAAACTGTTTAAAACAATAAAAGTATTCTAAGTGTTATATAAATTAACTATATTTTTTTCCTAGGTTATTCATGCTGAGGACATGCCTGGAAAGCCTTATGATGCATTTGGTTATGCCTTGAGTGGTGGTATGGACCTAGATAACAATGGTTATCCTGATTTGCTCACATCATCTTTCTGCAGTGACAGAGTTCTTTTGATCAGGTATTATTGTCTGTTTGCTGGTTAGTACCTACTTACCAGTTTTTCATAACTTAATTTTCCTAGTGGCACTGAGAAGACCTTAGTCATAAAGAACCAAACCTTCCCTGCCTCTCCTTCCTTCTTCACCTGCCCCTCCTGCTTTCTTCACCTGCCCCTCTTGCCTTCTTCACCTGCCCCTCCTTCCTTCTTCACCTGCCCCTCCTTCCTTCTTTACCTACCCCTTCTTGTTTCTTCACTTACCTCTCTTTGTTTCTTCACCTACTCCTCCTTGTTTCTTCACCTATCCCATCCCACTCCAAGCTATATCTGATCTCTTGAACACATTTCTAGCTAGCTCCCCTGACATTAGCTACACTTCTAGTTCCCTCTAGTTATACACACACCAAGTCCCCCTTACACATACCCCATACACACACTGTCAGGAGCTGTCTTGATCCCAGCATACACAAACTTTACTTCCCGCATAAATTTAGTCAAGCACCTAAGCTACTGAAAAAACTTGAAGTAGTTCAAGCTATAGTTCTTAGATCAAAAGTGAGGAAATATACATTATAATTCACACCTGGAAACTTCTGGAGGGGTTGGTTCCAAATCCACAGAATAAAATCACCCCTTACTAAAGCAAGAGGCTTGGCAGAGTGTGTTAAGCAGGGGTACACCAAGTATACTAAGAGATAATGCAGTAGGTTTAAAGGGGTCAAAACTTTTCAGTGTCCTCCAGTCATCTATAAGGGAATTTACTAACTGTTTTCAGGAGAGAACTTTGTATGTTCAAGTCACTTCATGATTAGCCAGACTGTGGTGCATATGCTAGACTCTGTGGCTAGCACCAATAATCTGTTATCAGGCCATCAACCAGGAGGCCTGGTTTTGAACTGAGCACCTGTGGCCATGACCCTCGAAATATTTTTCAGATAATTTTCAGGTAAATAAGCACACTCAAGGTCCCCCAACACATTAGCCATACACTTTACTCCTCTCTCCCAGGATGCAACCCACAACAGTCCCCTAACACCTAGATACTTACTTACTGCTAGGTGAACAGGGGCAGCAGGTGTAAGGAAACATGCCCAACATTTCGAGGATAAAACCCTGGTTCCTCAGTGTGTGAGGGGAGGCCATTATAAAGTGAGCCACAGGTATATATAACCAGATAAAATAATGTATAAAAATCTGTAATTCTTTTGTATATTATATACAGTCTCAGAATTTTAGTAAGATTTTCATGTGCAAAAAATTAAATTCCAATTTTGCAGTACTATTAATATTCCACAAAAGAAATATTTGATAAAGTAATATTTTTTTCTCTCCAGAGCTCGGCCAATAATTGATATTCAGACTCAGGTACAATCAAAAGGACAGCTTCAGAATATTGATCCCAGTAAGAAAGGCTGTGCAGAGGATGTTTTTGCACACGAAACATGGTAACAGTAATAATTTTGAATTTTGTTATTCTCAAGTTGCTTTGTAAACTACGAATTATAACGATAATAATACATGTACGCTTTACTATTACTAAATTCATGCAGAAGCATTAAATCTGTAAGGGTCATTAAGTACCATAAAATGTACTGTGTGTAGTAATTTGTGGCTATACACATCATAATTATAAATAAAAAAAAATGATACAAACTTAGGTCCTTTTCCTTAATACAGTGGCTCCCAAATATTTTTGGCTGATAACCCAAAATTTGAAATAATATCTTCCTCACAAACCAAATGGCATTAGTACATGCTTAGCACCCCAGCAAACTGCATAAATTTATAGAATAATAGTAAAGAAAACATTTGGAAAAATAATTATAGACTATTAGTCACTTTATTTCTGAGCCTCAATCACAGTATGGTTTTTGAACTTCATCTCTAGTGTAAGTGAAGCCTACATTGCAGTAATGTTAAAATTTCTCAGTGTAGTTATTATGATCAAATTTGTTTCAAATTGCAGAATTTTAAAGCCTTTGCCATTTTAAAAAATCTCCACATCCACCTTCAACTTAGTTCTACATTTTTTTATTACTGTACTGTAAATATATAATTTTGTCAGGTTTATTTTGCTTTCCTTCAGGTCAGTTATAAAATTAATTTTAGTGTTGATATATATAAGCAGGCACAGTACAATAATTCTGAACATAACACAATGGAAGAGAAAATTTGTTAATATTTTATTGTGTAGAAATTGTAATAATTGCTGAACGTTTAAGCCTTGTTATTTTGATAATTTTGTAATGCAATAATTTAGTATTTAATGTTCAGTATGGCTTACCTTATCATTTAAGATTTTCTTCTTTTACTGAAAGTTTCATAGATTAAGATTCTGCAATGACAGTCAACCAATCAGTCGACTAAATGTCACCAAAATTTTACAGCTTTTCATTTAGTGCATGTTTCAAAATGGACAATAATGCTGGTACAAGAACTGGTCTGCGAATTAAGTATACTATTGAAGAAAGAGTGTATAAAGACCAACCAATAGCAAGAATTCGCTTTGACAATGGCTTAAGTGATCAGCCGAGTGTGGTAGAGCGGGATATCAACCTCAGGCCAGAAGATATGGGCAGATTTCAGTGCTCCCGGGAAATTGTTTACCTTCTGGTAGGTCGTTTTTAATTGTAACATTTATATTGTGATTAAAGAGCTGTGTACCAGCAACTGTTAGCAACAGCTTGATTGAACAGGCAATCAACAAAAAAGACTGGGCTGCTGGGGTAAAGAAATTCTTGTAACTAGTCACAGGTGCTATATGAGGCATAGTTTTGTTTGGTTGATACTCTTTATTTGAATATGTGTATACATATTACTGTCTTGTTATATTCATAATACTATTTAAATTAATGTTATAATGTTAATAAAAAATTGTATACAGTATTAATTTTATTAGCCCTTAACCCTTAAATGGTTCAAACGTATATATACGTTTTTTCAACATCTGAAATTATGTAAAAAAATGTAGATTTTCTTTTTTGTTTTACATTTGAAAACGTGTAAAAAAACTTTTAACTACATTTTTTTTGTTATATTTGAAAATATGTAAAAAAAAAGTAGATCTACTTTTGTAGCACTACGAATTTGAACGTCAATCTGTTTGGACCGTTTAAGGGTTAAACTGTCCAGACAGATTTACGTTCACATGCATAGTGCTCCAAAAGTTGATCTACAGTTTTTTTTACATATTTTCAAATATAACAAAAAAAAAAGTAGATCAAAGCTTTTTTACACGCTTTCAAATGTAATAAAAAAAAAACTGTTTTTTTTACATATTTCAAATGTTGAAAAAACGTAGATCTATGTTTGGACAGTTTAAGGGTTAATCAGTAAAAGTAATAAGTCACTCAGTCCCTCAAATTTTGTTGGGTTTCCTATTTGTGGAATATGATTTTCAACATTTTTACTGATGAGTAACATGTGAATAAGTTTGATTATTCTTAATTTTTTTGTGGTAATCTTTTTTTTTTTACCTGAGCACATGAGCTTTGAAGTGAAAACTAATCATAGGCATTTATTCAGATTGTACTCAGTAGCTTTCCTATGGCCAGATCTTTTCTTTCTGGGCATTCATTTTTATGAATGTTAATAATAACCAATTTAGAGTAGTTTTAAAGAAATATAATTTCTGAGTCACAAAATGAACCCAAATCTGAAACAAAACTTATGTAGAGATAATTGAGTATTCTCCTCCTTCTTCTTTCAACAAACCGGCCGTATCCCACCGAGGCAGGGTGGCCCAAAAAGAAAAACCAAAGTTTCTCTTTTTAAATTTAGTAATTTATACAGGAGAAGGGGTTACTAGCCCCCTGCTCCTGGCATTTTAGTCGCCTCTTCCAACACACATAGCTTATGGAGGAAGAATTCTGTTCCACTTCCCCATGGAGATAAGAGGAAATAAACAAGAATAAGAACTAGTAAGAAAATAGAAGAAAACCCAGAGGGGTGTGTATATATATGCTTGTACATGTATGTGTAGTGTGACCCAAGTGTAAGTAGAAGTAGCAAGACGTACCTGAAACCTTGCATGTTCGTGAGACAGAAAAATGGACACCAGCAATCCTACCATCATGTAAAACAATTACAGGCTTTCGTTTTACACTCACTTGGCAGGATGGTAGTACCTCCCTGGGTGGTTGCTGTCTACCAACCTAGTACCTAGATTCAGCTCTATCATTGTCTTCAAATTCAGCATTAAGTAGCACAGGAATTTTCAACATAATACCCACACACATTAGAAATATTTCTGGAATGAAAACATAAGTTTTAAAGAAGCTGGACAGCTTCCATCTGCAAGTGCCAAATCAGCTGGGTCATGATGGTTATGTGGGCCTGTGAGCCACTAGCACAAACAGCCTGGTTGGCCAGGTGGTCATTAAGAAAAACCTGGCCCTAGGGTAGGCTGCAGAAGCCTGTGTACCTCCTGTATGTGTGGAATTCTTTCCTGGAATTCATGGAAGTCATTGACTCATTAACTTTGAGTTTGTTACATGTATGTAGGCAGATTGAAGTGGCATATATGTAGGCAGTCCCTGTCTCTTATCCAACTGTCCAATGAGTAAACCTATATTGGGCGTAGCATCAGAGACTGTCTTAGTCACACATGCACAGAGATGTGTATATTGAGAGTTTACTCTAATCCCTCTTTTGAGGGATTAAATTATTCTTGACTGATAGTATCCATTTTATTCTTAAACTGGTGTTGCAGACCCCTGGCAATCGAAGCACTGAAAGCAAAGCACAGAACTGTCAGATTGCCAAAATGTAGATAGGACAAAGAATGTGTTAGTCTTCCCTGATTAATTATTTATATTCCTTAAGTCTATTATTTTCACTTTGTTTTGATATCTTGTCTATGTTCTGTGGCTCATTGAAGTGAAAGCTAGAGTGCAAATGTACAAAGATATGTCTTACCAACTAAATATTGAAATAAAACAGGGTAAGGAATCTTGTGTGAAATATTAACTTAGATTACCCCATAAATAAAATATTCTGAAGCTTAAGTTGTATTTGAATATTTTCTTGCAGGATTCATCAAGGGATATACTTCGTCCACTCAGATTCAAACTGTCTTATGAAATTATTCAGAGAGAGCCACGACCTGTTGCTGAAGGGGACCCAATACCTAATATTGATGACTACCCAATCCTTAACCAGCAGGAAGCACTTAGGTATGATATAAGTTTGTGTTTAAAAAGCCATTTGCTCTCTTCATTTTTGTCTTTTATTTTTTTACATTAATACATTTTGTTTGGCTGTAGCATAAATATATACATCAGAGATAGATGGAAACTGAAATAATATTGAAGACACATTAATTGAAGAAAAGTGTACATTTACATTAGTAAGCACAAGTGCTGTTTAGTAGTATAGTATATTTATGGAAACATGAAGACCAAGACCATATAAACATCCAGCACATCGTGGTTTGTTCCTAAATTTTGTGGGCACTACACGATCAGACAACAGCAGGGATTGTAACCCTTATTTTGTATGTGGTAAAAAGTCTTTCCACTAGTGTGATGTTTCTTATAATTATTATAATATGATAGAGAATGTCAAATGCTGTATAATAAAATTCAAAATTAAAAAAGTCAGTATTGGTTTATTATTTTATGAAGTAAGGAGCATGCAGGTCTGAAAGTAGTAATGCATAGTGATAAAATCATGCATTTTACCCTAGACAGAGCATTTCAGTTATTTCATTGTAAAGTATTAATTGCAGTTTCGGTGGGAAACGGCCGACTTGTTGAAAAAAAATAAAAATGTATATATTGATTAGGATTTAACATTTGTTTATACGGGTACTTCAGGGAGCAAGGTTACACGAAAAAAGTACCTCCAGAGTGAAATTACACTACATGAATAGTCCTATGACACAGTTGTAGAATGAATTGTTTGCAGTGTGTTCATATATTCCATGTGACTAACACTCCTTTCAACAAAATTTGGATCATTTAAGTGATTTGTTCTGTGTCATTTGAGAACATTATCTTTCATGCAGAAGAATTTTATGCCTGCTTTTATAGTACTGGGGATAACATTGTTCATATTCACTCTATGTATATTTTATTGATTGTCTTCTTTAGCAGTGGTGATTAATGCTGAATTTCAATATTTCAGGTACTTTGAGGGAACATTTGCCAAAGATTGTGGTGATGATGATGTCTGTGTAAGTGACCTTAATGTAATTGGAAGCATTGGTCTAGAACGTCATGAAAAGAGAGATCATTACCTCCTGAGACTCGGAGAACAGGATGACATCCCTCTCAATGTAGAAGTGACCAATGCTGGTGAACCAGCTTATCAGTCTGTGCTCCGTGTCACTCATCATAAGGCCCTTGCATTTAACCTTAAAGAATCACAGGTATGAAATCCACTTAATATGCTGATTATTGATATTAAAAGTCATAGTCAAGAAATAAAGAGACACTCAGTCTCTAACTGATGGCTTATTACTAAGTATGTATAAAGCTTATGCTTTTCCTGTTTAGTAGGTATTCCTGGTAGAGGGAACATTATCATTTGTTTTGCACCTATTTTTTCTGACATTTGAAGTCCAGCCTACTATATGTGTATCCAGAATATGCTTCTTAAAATTGCCTGGAAACTTTTCTGCCATCATGCACAGTGGAATTACATTTCAAGTCATCACATATATGTAGTAAGAAGGCAAATGACTTCCGATAACTAGAGGGGAAATAGACATGAATGCATACACTTAGGACACCTGTATTGAGAACAAAGGTGTATGAAGTACAGTGGAACCTTGGTACTCGAACAATTCAGTATTCGAATGCTTTGTTTGGTAAATAAATCATTCGGTAGTCAAACATTTGCTCAGCACTCAACCAAACATGACCTGCCAGAACTTCGCTGTAAACTATTTTGTGTTTCTTCTTATTTTTTGGTGTTTTTTTTTCATATTATTTGTAAAACTAAGTCACCATGGGGCCTAAGAGAGTTAGTGATAACAGCCAACCTAAAAGAAAATTGGTTGGGAAAAATTTGTTCTGTACTCAAACAGATCGGCACTCGAACACCCTTCTGGAACCAATTAAATTCGAGTGCCAAGGTTCCAGTGTATATACCATATAGGTATATACTGGATACTATATATAACAGTGCTCCACATGCATCCCTTGAGAATAAAAAAATGTAATTTAGTTCATACAGTTTTGCTTAGACATAAATGTTGGAGGAGTTGTAGTGACATATATACTCTAGAAAATCTGATGTAAAAGAATTGGCAAAAAAGGACAAGAAATTAAATAATGCATAAAGTTAAAAAGAGTATGTTAAAATCTATAGAAGGCAAATTTCTGTGAGATTTTTAAGAGTAGATTCTCATATATCTTGCATCCTGGAACTGCATCGTCAGTAAATTATTGTTGAAATATTATGATTAAAATAGCATATGTTCTGTTTTGACTTGAAATCCAGCTTTATCAAGTGGTGAGATATATCCCCTCAGCCTCACAGCTAGTATATATGTGAGGCCATTGTTCTAGGCAGGGAGGCCTATATCATTCCCTGCTGTAAACATCCACCATTGGTGTGACTTGCCTTCTGGAAGAGTCCTTACTTACTTGTGGTTGCAGGGGTCGAGTCTTTGCTCCTGGCCCCGTCTCTCAATTTTCCACCAGATTCTCTCTCTACTAGCCAATAAATTATGAATCTCGCAAGGAGAGTATCAGGGGAGGGTTTTCAAGATATGCAAGAAGAACCGTTAGGTGATGACAAACAAACAAATGATGAAACATTGAAGGAGCCCAGTTCCTAGTTAGAAGGGAGGCAGGTAATTAATAAGGATGACATAGAAGAACCTGTACCTATTGCTGTGAAGCAGGGTCTGCAGCAGGTGATGATTCCTTATTATTAGCTCTATAGAGTACTGCAGGTTAAAATAGAGCAAAAGCATTATTGAATAATAAGCCCTGCTGTACAACCATCAAGTATTGATAATTCAGCATTAACATCAACTCAAGAACCACAGCCATCCATGTCAGCACAAGAATCAGTCATCCACATCAATACAGAAATCACAGCCATTCACCATAGTTCAATAGGGCCCCCTCTCCAGACATTTCAAGATCAGCAGGCATGACCAACCAGAATGGAAAGTGCAGTAGAAAAAGTTGGTTTTAAGTAACTTTTTATAGATACATATTTGTATTTTCTTCTTCTTTCAATAAGCAAGCCGTATTCCACCAAGGCAGGGCGGCCTATAAAGAAAAACAAAAGGTTTTCTTTTTAACTTTAGTAATGTATAACTTCTTGGAGAAGAGTTTACTAGCCCCTTGCTCCATATTTGTATTTTATTAATGTATAAACCTCACTATGTACATCCAGCCCTCTCCACACATTTTCAGATCACCAAGCAATGACAACTATAATGTAAGTTATAAAAACATTATTTTTGATGAATTATAAAATTTATAAAAAAAAATAAAATTTGTTCAACTTTTTTGGAAGCATCATGAATGTAACCCTATTTTCCCATAGGGTTTTCTATATCCATATAGCTATTTTCTGCAAAGCACAAGATTTTGGGAATGTAACCTGTATGATATATGAGCTTCTTCAGCAGTAATAATTATTATTTTTTTTTATTATCACACTGGCCGATTCCCACCAAGGCAGGGTGGCCCGAAAAAGAAAAACTTTCACCATCATTCACTCCATCACTGTCTTGCCAGAAGGGTGCTTTACACTACAGTTTTTAAACTGCAACATTAACACCCCTCCTTCAGAGTGCAGGCACTGTACTTCCCATCTCCAGGACTCAAGTCCGGCCTGCCAGTTTCCCTGAACCCCTTCATAAATGTTACTTTGCTCACACTCCAACAGCACGTCAAGTATTAAAAACCATTTGTCTCCATTCACTCCTATCAAACACGCTCATGCATGCCTGCTGGAAGTCCAAGCCCCTCGCACACAAAACCTCCTTTACCCCCTCCCTCCAACCTTTCCTAGGCCGACCCCTACCCCGCCTTTCTTCCACTACAGACTGATACACCCTTGAAGTCATTCTGTTTTGCTCCATTCTCTCTACATGTCCGAACCACCTCAACAACCCTTCCTCAGCCCTCTGGACAACAGTTTTGGTAATCCTGCACCTCCTCCTAACTTCCAAACTACAAATTCTCTACATTATAATCACACCACACATTGCCCTCAGACATGACATCTCCACTGCCTCCAGCCTTCTCCTTGCTGCAACATTCATCACCCATGCTTCACACCCATATAAGAGCGCTGGTAAAACTATACTCTCATACATTCCCCTCTTTGCCTCCAAGGACAAAGTTCTTTGTCTCCACAGACTCCTAAGTGCACCACTCACCCTTTTCCCCTCATCAATTCTATGATTCACCTCATCTTTCATAGACCCATCCGCTGACACGTCCACTCCCAAATATCTGAATACATTCACCTCCTCCATACTCTCTCCCTCCAATCTGATATCCAATCTTTCATCACCTAATCTTTTTGTTATCCTCATAACCTTACTCTTTCCTGTATTCACTTTTAATTTTTTTCTTTTGCATACCCTACCAAATTCATCCACCAATCTCTGCAACTTCTCTTCAGAATCTCCCAAGAGCACAGTGTCATCAGCAAAGAGCAGCTGTGACAACTCCCACTTTGTGTGTGATTCTTTATCTTTTAACTCCACGCCTCTTGCCAAGACCCTCGCATTTACTTCTCTTACAACCCCATCTATAAATATATTAAACAACCACGGTGACATCACACATCCTTGTCTAAGGCCTACTTTTACTGGGAAAAAATTTCCCTCTTTCCTACACACTCTAACTTGAGCCTCACTATCCTCGTAAAAACTCTTCACTGCTTTCAGTAACCTACCTTCTACACCATACACCTGCAACATCTGCCACATTGCCCCCCTATCCACCCTGTCATACGCCTTTTCCAAATCCATAAATGCCACAAAGATCTCCTTAGCCTTATCTAAATACTGTTCACTTATAATAATAATAATACAAAAAAAAAGTTTTGCAATTATTGGAAAGTGCATAGGATGTACAGAATTTTGCACATTAGTAAGTGAAAAAAGAAAATTATTTCTAATAGGCAAGTGAAATATGTTGAAGGCTATAAATAAGCTGAAATAAAATGTTTGTGAATGAGCTTAGATGATAACCATAAAATTCATATCAAAGCTTTGTGGATGCAAAGGGAAGAAAAAGTTAAAGTATTCCCTGAACTGTCAGATTTTCTTTTTGTTTAAATGTTTAATATTATAGGGAAAATAGCATCAACCTGGTGAGAAGTAGCACAATTTAAAGAGTATAGTGTTTTGCCTGTTAACAGAGTTAACATACTAAATTTTAGTATTTTTTCAGGTGGGATCATATCAGTGCTCAACCACATCTAACACTGTTGTTCAGTGTGGTATTGGTAACCCTCTGACTGGCACAACAGGACCTCTGGTTTTGAGCTTCAGAGAATCTGGCCATCCATTTGATTCTAGATTCATTCTTTTTACTGTAGCTGCTGACTCATCATCCACAGAAAAGACACCCCAGGATCCATTGCAGTTCCATGTAGAAGTAATTAAGAAAGCAGAAATATCAATAATTGGGTATGTACTGTATTTTTTTTGCTCTTCTGTACTTTTCTGCTGATAACCAACCCATTTGTTATTTTTATTTATATCATTGTAATGGCTGTGACCCTTGAGCAATGGATAATGGAGCCCAGTTTCAGGATCCATTAAGTGCCTCAGTAATCTTTTGATGTATCAGGATTTTAAATATATTTCCAAAGAATTATTATTGAAGGAGTATGATTGCAGAGGAACAAGGAGGATTTATGAAAGGCAGGAAATGTGTAGGTCAAGTGTTTACATCGAAGCATGTAGGTGAACGATACTGTAGTTCAAGGTAAAGAACTGTTTATTGTATCTATGAATACATAAAAGGCATATGATAGAGCTGATAGGGAGCAGCATGGCAGATGTTTCACATGTATGGAATAGGCAGTAGGTTACTAAAAGTAGTAGAGGGTATTTATCGATAGTGAGGCTCAAGTTAAGATATGTAGGGGAGAAGGGCACTATTTTCCATTAAAAGTAAGCTTTGGATAGGCAGGTGTGATGTCACCATCCTTGTTTATGTTTAACATTTTTATTAATAAGGTTGTAAAAGAAGTGAATGCTAGGGTATTGGAGAAAGGTGCGAGTTTAAAAGATAATGAATCTGATACAAAGCAGGAGTTATTGTAGGTGCTCTTTTGTTGATGATACAGTTCTTGTGGGAGATTCTGAAGAGAAGTTGAAAAAGGTTGGTAGAGGAATTTAGGAGAGTATGTGAAAGTAGGATATTAATTAAATTTTTTTTTTTTATTAACACATCAGCCATTTCCCACCAAGGCAGGGTGGCCCAAAAAAAGAGAAACTTTCATCATAATTCACTCCATCACTGTTTTGCCTACACTACAGTTATAAAACTGCAACATTAACACTCCTCCTTCAGAGTGCAGACACTGTACTTCCCATCTCCAGGACTCAAGTCCGGCCTGCCAGTTTCCCTGAATCCCTTCATAAATGTTACCTTGCATACACTCGAACAGCATGTCAAGTCCTAAAAGCCATTTGTCTCCATTTGCTCCTGTCTAACATGCTCATGCACGCTTGCTGGAAGTCCAAGCCCCTCGCACATAAAACCTCCTTTACCCCCTCCCTCCAACCTTTCCTAGGCCGACCCTGATCCTGCCTTCCCTCCACTACAGATTTGTATACAGTGGACCCCCGGTTAACGATATTTTTTCATTCCAGAAGTATGTTCAGGTGCCAGTACTGACTGAATTTGTTCCCATAAGGAATATTGTGAAGTAGATTAGTCCATTTCAGACCCCCAAACATACACGTACAAACACACTTACATAAAGACACTTACATAATTGGTCGCATTGGGAGGTGATCGTTATGCGGGGGTCCACTGTACTCTCAAAGTCATTATATTTTGTTCCATCCTCTCTACATGTCCAAACCATCTCAATAACTCCTCCTCAGCCCTCTGGATAATAGTTTTGGTAATCCTACGCCTCCTTCTAATCTCCAAACTACGGATTCTCTGCATTATATTCACACCACACGTGGCCCTCAGACATGACATCTCCACTGCCTCCAGCCTTCTTGTTGCAACATTCACAACCCATGCCTCACACCCATACAAGAGCATTGGTATATCTATACTCTCATGCATTCCCCTCTTTGCTTTCATGGATATAGTTCTTTGTCTCCACAGACTCCTCAGTGCACCACTTACCTTTTTCCCCTCATCAATTCTATGATTCACCTCGTCCTTCATAGATCCATCTGCTGACATGTCTACTCCCAAATATCTGAACACATTCACCTCCTCCATACTCTCTCTTTCCATTCTGATACCCAATCTTCCATTACCTAATTTTTTCGTTATCCTCATCACCTTACTCTTTCCTATATTCACTTTTAACTGCCTTCTTTTACATACCCTACTAAACTCATCAACCAACTTCTGCAACTTTTCTTCAGAATTTCCCATAAGCATGGTGTCATCAGCAAAGAGCAACTGTGACAACCCCCACTTTGTGTTAGATTTTTTAACTTTTAACCCCACACCTCTTGCCAACACTCAAGCATTCACTTCTCTTGCTACTCCATCTATAAATATATTGAACCACCATGGTAACATCACACATCCCTGTCTAAGGCCTACTTTTCCTGGTAAATAATCCTTCTCTCAATAACCTACCTCCTATTCCATACATTTGTAATATCTGCTACATTGCCCACCTATCCACCCTGTCATATGCCCTTTCCAAATCTATAAATGCCACAAAAACCTCTTTACCTTTATCTAAATACTGTTCACCTATATGTTTCACTGCAAACGCTTGGTCTACACACCCCCTACCTTTCCTAAAGCCTCGTTCATCTGCTATCCTGCTCTCCGTCTTACTCATAATTATGTCAATAATAACTGTACCATGCACTTTACCAGGTATACTCACAGACATAAAAAGAGCTTGGTGATGAGACTAGCAAAAAAGTGTAGGCAATGAAAGGATGGATATCAGATAAGAAGGAAGGAGTATGGAGGAATTGAAGGTATTCAGATAATGGGGAGTGGGCATAATGATAGTTTATGGCTCTGTGAAAGGTGAGATGAACCAGAGAATAGACAAGGGAAGAAAAGAATAGGTCATGTGTTGAGGCATGTATGGAAAGAAAGTTTATGGAGGCAAAAAAGATATGTACTAGAGAATAATGGTCTCAATGCTTTTGTATAGGTGTGAGGCATATAAAAGTGTGCACCAAGGAGGAGGCTGGAAGAAGGAAAGATGTTGTGTTTAAGAGCAGTGTGTGGTGTAAATATTATGCAGAGGATTCACAAATTAGAAATTAGAAGATAGAGTGGATTACCAAAGATATTTCCAAAGTTGATTTAACATTTGTTGTCTTAAAGTTTCTACTTTAGCTGTATTATTTCAGATCTGTGACTCCTGAACAAGCATTCTATGGTGGAGAGGTAACGGGTGAATCTGCAATTAAACAGTTGGACGAAATAGGAATGGAGGTGTCTCACAAGTATGTAATTGATAACCGAGGACCTTGGCGTGTGGATGAGTTGCAAGTAGAGGTCTTGTGGCCACACCAAGTGGAGAATAATAAAGAACAGGGCAAATGGCTTCTCTATATGACTGAAAATCCTATTGTTGAGGGTGAGAACAGTTTCTTTATGTACAGTATATTTAATCCATAATATATTGCCCTACAATAAACACGTTAGCACTAAAGAGGTCTACTGTTTCTTCATTACTCACAAGTAAAATTAACGAATGTTATTGTTTTTTAGAAAATGAAGAAGCTGTTAAAGATATGTACTGTATATCAATTCATAAAACATACTTTATGTAGCCTGCTACTGACACATTTCAAGCATAGAAATTCTGTGCATAAGTATGAGCATTTTCATGTAAGAAATTGAAAGACAAATGTATCTTCTTGAAAAATAATTATTGGTTAATTAAACTTGTCAAATAACATGTACAAGCAAGAAATCATACATGAACCCTGCAACAATTTTAACTCCTGTTGTCCACATTAGCACTTTTTATTGCACCTTTATTTTTTTATAATAGAAAATATGGTAGATTTTGACGTGCTAGGTCAACAAGACGTATTCCATTTTCGTGTTTTGAAATAAGTTCCTATTTTAGTTCAGTGGTGGTTCTTACAGCTTTTCTTTTAGGTTTTTCTTCACTCTTCTTATTTGGGGTCATGATCACTTATTTTCAATAATAAAATAAAAATAACACAAAGTTATACAAAAAATAACAATTGAATCACAAGAGCTCAAAGAGCATGCATCATTCCAAATATAGTGACATTTGTGAATATCAGTATTTTTATTTTTCTCTCAAATTTTTTTCCGAATATTGGATTTTACGAATAGAGGTATATCCGAATAGAGGTTCTACTGGATATGGTATCATGTTTGGCATATTCAGTATTGTTTCCATTTGTAAAATGACATTGTTCAGTTAGCTTCAGCTTTTATTAGACACAAAGATCTACTTTTTATTCAAAATAACATAACAGCTTTTATTTAAATATTTGTCATTTCAGTCTTTCACAGATACTTTTGTTATGACTTATCAACTTATCAGTACCAATGACAGAATCTTAAAAAGTTTTCTATTCTCGCATTCCGTCCTTATGCCATGTTATTTTTTAACTTATGTTCAATCTTATTTGATTTTTTTCCCACACATCATTATATTCTCATATTTTTATATATATTTTTTTATGTTTTTTCCATTAGTTATACATACTACTTTTAGTGTTTTACCATCTACTCGTTTATAAAAATTCCGTTACTATTTCCACAAATTTTCAAAACTTTATACTTTTAAAGTTGTAGATACTGCTGTTACTTTTCTTTAGTTCTTGTAAGTTTATAGGATGGTGAATAATACTGTACTTCTTTCCCATGTAGGTGTTGGAGAATGTGAAATTGATCAGAAGTTTATAAACCCACTGATTCTTCGAAGAGACATATCTATAACCGATGCACAAACTGGCCTGGATGTAGAAGGTGAAATAGATCCTTCACATTATCCAGGGCCAGACAGTCAAGGCCCTGGTGAACCAGGAGAGAGTGGTGGAACTGGAGCTGGTGTTGGTGGTGTAAAGATAACAAAGACAACAACAAAGAAGGTAACTAATACTACAACAATAAAAAAGAAGACATCCAAGTCAACGTCCGAGAAGGAGCTCTCTCTAACAACTGAAAAAACATCTTCATCTCACGGATTCTCATCTGGTACTTCATCTTCATCCAGTTTTTCTTCTTCATCATCATCATCATCATCATCTAATTTGGACACATCTGTTGATCAAGAAGGAAGTGGATTTGACCAAACCAGTGGTAGAGAATCTGGAAGAATACACTCACGAATCAATCGAAGGGCTTATTTTTCCTCAGATAAGTCAAGATTTAATGAGGGTGATAGAAAATATGACCTAAACACAGATGGAGAGGGTGATAGTTTTCATGAGGAGACTCGCACTTCATCTAGAACTTCACCTGATGGAAGAACAAAATTCTATGAAACACATCATGAAAGCAGTAGAACAACTGTGAAAGAGGAAAAGACAGAGGAGGATATACCAAGAGGACGGTGGAGTGATCGTGGTGGATACAGGCAGGTTCATGTAGGGACATCGTCTTCAGGCTTTAGAACTTCTGATGGTATTCCTGAAGATGGTCACTCACAGTGGGATAATCAAAATACTTCACATTCGGGTGAAGGTGTACATTATGATGCAGATCGTGGAGCTAATATTGGTGATCTTGAAGGATCTAGTTCATCTGATAGATATGACAGGAAAGGACAAGGCTGGCAAGTGCATGATAGTAATCGTAGAGTTGAGTCTGTTAGCAGAAGAACTCATTCTGGTGGATATGGAGGTGCTGAAGATGACAGTTATAGAAGAGTTTACAGTGAAGATAGGCGGATAACTGATGGTAATTCTAGAACACAGACAGCTGGATATGACAGAATACCAGACAGTGATGGGAGTAGATTAAATATATATGGAGGAAGCAGAGAAACTGGTGGTGACAGGGCTGGATCAGGAAGAGGTGAGCAAAATTGGAGAGTAGATGATACTCATAGGATAGACAGTATAAATAGAGAAGAAAGCACCAAAAGAATTGGTGAAGATTCTTCCACAAGGATACACACACATGAATCTAGAGGAGGATTTGGCAGAGATAATGCAAGAAATTTCGATTATGATAGCTTTGATAGGAGGAAAGCCAGTTCTGGTGCTCAGAGAACTTTCACAGATACTGATTTTAGATCTACAGACCATCATAGATCCAGAACTCCTGGAAGTGGTTTTAACAGGGATATTGAAGATGATACTTTAATAACTCATTCATGGGAGTATGACAGAGCAACAGTTGGAGGAAGAACTTCTCATGGGCACAGTAGAAAGCTGGAGGATGGAGAAAGAACTTTTCATGGGTCTGATAGCGATCTGGATGGAGGAAGAACTTTTCTTGAGCATGATATAAATCTGGAGGATGGAGGAAGGACTTTTCATGGACATGACAGAAATCTGGAGAATGATGGGAATACCAGAACTATCACTGGCACAAATGACAGAACAGGAGCTGAAGGTCACCATAGCTATTCTCATGATTATGAAAGGAGTCACTTAGCATCAACAAATCCTACTACCAATATAAGAAAACATGATAGAAATGGCCAACATAGTCTAACTGATGGCCATGCTGGTACCAGCAGGAGTGCCTTTGACTGGGACCACAGAGGAGCAGGAACTGTTGGACATCATGGCTATTCTCATGATAACCAGAATAGACATATTCAACATGGCCATGTAAGATCTTCTGAAGATGGCCATGTAAGATCTTCTGAAGATGGATACAGAACACATGATGAAGACTCTAGAATTAGACATGGGAGTAATGTAGATTTAAGAACAGACTCAGGGAACTTGAAGACTACTACATGGGAATTAAATTCAGGTTCAAGACAAGACAATCCTAGATGGAATACTTATTCATCTCGGACCCAGGGAAGCTCTGATAATTGGAATAAGCCACATGATCATAGAAATATTACAGGTGGTTTTGGTGCTAGAGGATTTAATCATTTTGAGGAATCGGGCCCTGACGAAAATGGCACATACACTCGTGTGGAAGTAGATCCTGAAACAGGCAAAACAACTGTCTACACACGAAGAGTTTATACCAGTGGTTGGCCAGAAAACTGGGAACATAGATCATACAGTGGGGAGGTCTCATCTGTATCTTCGCAAAATGAAGATAAGCTGCTGAGGAACAAGAGAGAATTAAGGCGCATAAAGCGGGAAAAGGAGCTTATCATCAAACCACAGGCTGTAACAGATGCTCAGACAGGCAAGACAATGCAAGTTGTGAATCTGGTAAGTAAAGCACATATATTTGTATCATTCAAAACCTTTCTTTTGTCATTTTGTTCTCTGAGAATTTTGTTCTATACATGTCAAAATTATGATAAATTGCAATACTGAATTATTCAGTTGATCTTTCAAAAGGTTCATGTTGAAGCTGAAGGGCTCTTGATCCATGGAGTTGGAATTATTCTGACCTCTACAAGTTTAGTGCTTCTCATTACAAAAAAAATATAATAATAATAATATCCTTTTCTTCCTTGGCTCAAACCTGATTACCTCCCATTCCCCAGTTTCTATGCCCCCTGCATGTATATATTAATTAAATGATGTTTAATGCTATTACGAAGTGAAAACTAAATGCAAAATATTGGGTAAAAATTCATTGGAAAAAATTATTTGAAATTATATACAAAATATTATAGTTCAAGAACATATAATACCATTACAGGTACAAAACCAATTTTGTTCAATCCATGGCTCCTAAAGTGTGCCAGAATATTGATTTTGCCAGACCAACAGAGATCACGTAATAATAATTCAACAATACACTTCTTACCCACTAATTGTACACTTCGCATCTCCAAAACTTAAATTCTTATTTCCTGTACTTCTTATTTCCTGTACTTCTTATTTACTGTACTTCATATTTACTGTACTTCTTATTTACTGTACTTCATATTTACTGTACTTCATATTTACTGTACTTCATATTTACTGTACTTCATATTTACTGTACTTCATATTTACTGTACTTATTTACTGTACTTCTTATTTACTGTACTTCATATTTACTGTACTTCTTATTTACTGCACTTTTTTACTGTACTTCTTATTTACTGTACTTCTTATTTACTGTACTTCATATTTACTGTACTTCTTATTTACTGTACTTCTTATTTACTGTACTTCATATTTACTGTACTTCATATTTACTGTACTTCTTATTTACTGTACTTCTTATTTACTGTACTTCTTATTTACTGTACTTCATATTTACTGTACTTCTTATTTACTGTACTTCTTATTTACTGCACTTTTTTACTGTACTTCATATTTACTGTACTTCTTATTTACTGTACTTCTTATTTACTATACATCTTATTTACTGCACTTATTTACTGTACTTCTTATTTACTGTACTTCATATTTACTGTACTTCATATTTACTGTACTTCTTATTTACTGTACTTCTTATTTACTGTACTTCATATTTACTGTACTTCTTATTTACTGTACTTCTTATTTACTATACATCTTATTTACTGCACTTATTTACTGTACTTCTTATTTACTGTACTTCATATTTACTGTACTTCTTATTTACTATACATCTTATTTACTGCACTTATTTACTGTACTTCTTATTTACTGTACTTCTTATTTACTGTACTTCATATTTACTGTACTTCTTATTTACTGTACTTCTTATTTACTGTACTTCATATTTACTGTACTTCTTATTTACTGTACTTCTTATTTACTGTACTTCATATTTACTGTACTTCATATTTACTGTACTTCATATTTACTGTACTTCTTATTTACTGTACTTATTTACTGTACTTCTTATTTACTGTACTTCATATTTACTGTACTTCATATTTACTGTACTTCTTATTTACTGTACTTCTTATTTACTGTACTTATTTACTGTACTTCTTATTTACTGTACTTCATATTTACTGTACTTATTTACTGTACTTCTTATTTACTGTACTTCTTATTTACTGTACTTCATATTTACCGTACTTCATATTTACTGTACTTCATATTTACTGTACTTCTTATTTACTGTACTTCTTATTTACTGTACTTCATATTTACTGTACTTCATATTTACTGTACTTCTTATTTACTGTACTTCATATTTACTGTACTTCATATTTACTGTACTTCATATTTACTGTACTTCATATTTACTGTACTTCTTATTTACTGTACTTCATATTTACTGTACTTCATATTTACTGTACTTCATATTTACTGTACTTCTTATTTACTGTACTTCTTATTTACTGTACTTCATATTTACTGTACTTCATATTTACTGTACTTCTTATTTACTGTACTTCATATTTACTGTACTTCTTATTTACTGTACTTCTTATTTACTGTACTTCATATTTACCGTGCTTCATATTTACTGTACTTCTTATTTACTGTACTTCTTATTTACTGTACTTATTTACTGTACTTCATATTTACTGTACTTCATATTTACCGTACTTCATATTTACTGTACTTCATATTTACTGTACTCCTTATTTACTGTACTTCTTATTTACTATACTTCTTATTTACTGTACTTATTTACTGTACTTATTTACTGTACTTATTTACTGTACTTCATATTTACTGTACTTCTTATTTACTGTACTTCTTATTTACTGTACTTCTTATTTACTGTACTTCATATTTACTGTACTTCTTATTTACTGTACTTCTTATTTACTGTACTTCATATTTACTGTACTTCTTATTTACTGCACTTATTTAGTGTACTTCTTATTTACTGTACTTCATATTTACTGTACTTCATATTTACTGTACTTACAAACAGTGGTGTAGTACTACTGCTCCCAAAGTGCTAAGTTTTAAAATTTTACTGAAATTATAAAGGTAATCACTCAGGTCTGAAGTTGAGGGATGTCAGGATTGCTCTGTTATATCATGGAAAGATAAAATGATTATAAATATAACCATAATTTTTAAAGGGGTGGACTAGTAAGCCAGTGGAAGGCCTTGGTCAGATGACCAAAAGCTCCAGCTGTGGGTCATCATATGACTAAGACCCTCATACCTTTGATATATACTTTTGAAGAGTTTCGAGAGTTTGTCTACTCTCTGAGCCCGGCCAAGAGCCAGGCTCGTCTGGTGCTTGCCTGGTCAACCAGGCTGTTGCTGCTGGAGGCCTGCTGCCCCACATATCCACCACAGCCTGGTTGATCTGGCACCTGGTGAAGATATTTGTCCAGTTTCCTCTTGAAGGCTTCTACACTTGTTCCAGCAATGTTTCTGATATCTTCTGGTAAGATGTTGAAAAATCTGGGACCCTGGATGTTGATACAGTGTTCCCCTATTGTCACCACTGCACCCCTGCTCCTCACTGGGTTTATTTTACACTTCCTCCCATATCTCTCACTCCAATATGTTGTTATGGCAGTGTTCAGATTTGGGACCAAGCCCTCCAGTACCTTCCAGGTATATATTATCATGTACCTCTCCTCCGCTCCATTGAGTACATGTTCAAGACTTGCAGGCATTCCCAGTAGTTTAGGTGCTTTACTGGCTCAGTGTGAGCCGTAAACGATCTCTGTATTTGTTCCAGCTCCAATATTTCTCCTGCCTTAAATGGGGCCGTCAGCACTGAGCAATATTCTAAGTGAGGGAGCACTAGCGATTTGAAGAATGTCACCATCGGCATTATTTCCCTTGTTTTGAAAGTTCAAATCAGGAAACACTTGTACTGTTTCCTGATGAATCTTACCCACCTACATTGTGGATTTGTGATTCTGCAGGGAGGATGTCTGGGGTACTTAAATTGGAAGCCACAGGATTGTCAGACATAGGCCTACTGCTATGACACATCCTTCTTGGCTATCTTTTCAAATATTTCAACCAAGCAAGGTTGTTTCATGTACTTTGATCTTTTCCAGTATAATTTTTCACACATCAAATAACTCGGCTTCCATCACAAAAGAACTTGTTCTAGTTCTTTGATTAATTCACCTGACAACTCTGTTATCTTGTCAATAGCCATAACAATTGACATGTTAAAATAACTATTAATCCTAGCCCTAGCTAGGGCTGTTAGAAAAATACACTAAAAACTGTACCAATTCAAAGGATCACCACCAACTTTAGTGTAAACAGTGCAAGTGAGTGCGCATTACACACAACACCATCTAGAGCTGCGCTCATAATTTTGTCCTGACTAAAAGAGGGGCTGGGCCACATGTTGCCAGAAGACCAGCATTGTATCTGTATAACATGGATTCTGTGTGAAAATGAGTTCTGAGTAACAAACAGTAGACTTAAGATGAATTTTGAAAAACTTATTAACATCTGAAGTTGGGGCTCTACTGTACACCCAAACCATTGTCAAGATAGCTCCTGTTGTCAGATGAAACCACTTGAAGTACTTACCAGCTACCAGCACATTTGCACATAATATGAAAAATGCAACCTTATCCTATATGATTGAAAAACTTTAATCATTCTGATTTTAAAACTTGTAACTTTTGTTTAACAAGAGACTCAGTGCATTATTAATATTTTCTTCAGAGAAGCTATGTAAGCTATAATTTATTTAAAAATTTATCTCTTTAGCAAATCTGTATAAAAGGTTCTTATTCTTGATAATCTTGTATTATTTTCTTTCAGAGATGTGATGGAGATGTACCAACGGCAAAGTGTTTTGTTTTCCGTTGCAATATTCGCAACTTAGGTGCCAAACAGTCTGCAAGTATACGTATTAAATCTCGTTTATGGAATTCTACGTTGGTTGAAGATTACCCACGTGTTAGTTATGTGAGTATTAAATCCAAAGCCTCTTTAATTCTCCCTGAGGACATTCGTAAAGACCAAGATCAGTCGGACGATGTTGCTTCAGCTGAAACCTTAGCATATCCTGACCTACTTGACCAACTTCCACCTGAGGAAGTACCACTCTGGGTAATACTTGTTTCAATTTTTGCCGGACTACTAGTTCTCATACTTATTGTTTTAATTTTGTGGAAATTAGGCTTTTTTGAAAGAAAGAGGCCAGATCCGACACTCTCGGGAAATCTTGATAAAGATGCCAACGGATACTAGATTTTACCATAGAATATTTATGTTGATAAACAAGTGCCAATTTAACTTTAGTGTTTCCTAATGGAAATGTGGCAGAAAAATACACAAACACTCAGTATCAGTGGAGGTTCATAATGTCCACTTGCACCTTGAAACTTTGTTAATACAGTAAAATGGTCTACACCTCACTATATACAGTACATGAACTTCAAAGAGGTGCTTAAGTCACAACAGTAACAATTGAAAATTTATAGAAGAAATACCTCAGAACCCTTTGCTTATAAAATTTGCAAATTGGAGGTACTGTACTATTTAATATGTGACTGCTATTACAAGTGTGTTGTTGCTGCTGTCATAACTGTGATGTTTCCTGTGCCTTCATATCTCAGACTTTCAGAAGGCTATTTTGTAGCTGTTTAGGAGTAAAATATAAATGTATTCAGAAATTAATGCTTGTATATTAGGCTATACGTATCTGGATTGTTTATTTTAAAGAGAGAATGAACCTTGTGGAAAATAGTGTTGATGAAGATGTTATTTTCTTACAAATTTCCTGTTGCATCTGCACTATAGATTTTCATTATAATGCAGTATATTGATACTCCATTTTTTTAAGTCTGTAATGAGCCGTGTACAAGTGAAAGGTATGCAAAGAGGATTTGTTTTTCATGATATTTGTGCACATGAGAGATACAGAAGATGGTGATTCACTGACAATATCAGCTGCTCATGTTACAAAAGGTTCTACATTTATGATTTGTAACCACACATGAGTTGCAGAAAGTTGTACGCAAACGATGCATAGTTTGAAACATAGCAGACATAGATTTGTGAAGGTTTGAACTTATGATGCATGCTTGTGCACATAAAGATACCAAAAGTTTCTTCAAGGAATGGACAGGATTAGATCTGGAAGTGAAGTGTGTGTTAATCCTGTGCTTTACCACTGTACTATGATGGCTACAATAGGTTAGGCTATTTTTTTTTTTTTTTTTTTAGGCTTTTCTGCAAGTACTCCAATTTGGTATGGGTACTATATGTTTCTTATAACTAAATTCTGATCATCATCAGTTCATGTGCTCAGATTTAGCTCTTGTCTTTTTAAGCCATTCTCAGTGCTTTAGAAAAATAAAAGTACTGTAAATCATTCAAACTTTGTTAAAGGAGTTCATGAAACTAGAACCCAAGGCTAAGCCTGTGCTAATTCTACACTCGGCTGCTGTACTGTGATGGCTACAATTGCTTTGAAAGCCCATTTTTTCAAATCTTGTCTTTAGGTGTCCCAAACTGGTGTGGTCATCACACTAGAGTACAGAATTAGCACAGGCTTAGTCTTAAGTTTGAATCTTGTCCATGCTGTACATAAATGGTATACAGTACTGACAAGATGAAGAATTAGACATATGCAACATCTTGGTATCTTTATTTGTAGACATTTCTCCATCTGTTGGCTTTATCAGTACAATACAAAGACATAAAATGAAGACTGTAGAACTGCAGGTGGGCCCCACTTATACAGCAGGTGAAGTTCCTGGCTACTTCTGTAAAGTAAAACTCACTGTAAAGTGAATCATAGCTTTTTTCACCTCCAAATGCATATAAAAGCCTGATAACATGTTTACACTATCATATATTAAGTGAGCAATAGAGCTAGGCCTATGAAATGCATATACAGTACACACATTATTTACCTTAAAATATTTTCATCCTTAGCTTATAGTGAGTGGAGAATATATTTATTGTAGTTAGTCTTAATAAATGAAGAATGGGTATAATGGAAAATCACTGCATTAGTAAAATGCTGTAAAGCGAAGCACTGTAAAATGGGGCCTGCCTGTACGTACTGAAGATGAGGTAATCAGTTCCTCAGCTTTGGGGTTGGTGAAGAGCACAGGAGCCTTGAAGAATTGCCACTGGATGGCAAAAATCTATAAATAAATATACCCAGATGTTTTACATGTGTCTAATTCTTAATCTTGTCCATACCTTGAGTAAGTTTAATTGTATTTTACATTTTCTGAAGCACACTAAAAAAATTGCACTTGTACTATTACTGTTTATACACAAAAATACATTGATAAATTAGTGATGCATAACTATACAGTATGTGAGAGGTGCCACAGATATTACGCTTATGATGCCTAACTGTGTATTTAAGAGATGCACCTGGTACTGCTGTCATGTACAACTGTGTTTGCAAGAGATTCACAGGTTGTTGCACTTGCAATATCTTGCTACTTTTCTATATGCTAAGACCCCACAAAAATTCTGGTGCCAATTTGAATTATTTATTCAGTACTGTAATTTAATGCTATACAATCATATGAAAACAACTGTGTGAACTTTCATATGTAGTCATTTTGAATTTATCTCTAAAGTGATATTGTATAGTATTCTGAATGTGTAGGTTGTAGCATTATGTTGGAAATGCACATCTTTTGTTGTGTTTGTTAGCTGAATGAGTTGTGTGTAAATGTATGAATGTTTGCAAAATGCATATTAAACTGAGTATATACTGTACTGAACTTGGTTGTAATGCTTTGTCTTTTGACTTGTAAATATGTATAGATATTTGGTGGCAAATGGTGTATTTGTTATAAGTAAAGCATATTTTTATCAATACTGTAGTTAATAAACTATTGTCATATAGTACATATATTTTTTTTTTACGGTCTGTTGTAGTTGATTCTCATACCTACATATTCAATAGGATCTCACTGTATATATGGAAACATTTACTTGTGTGATAGAATCATTCACTGTAATGCCTTTTTTATATATATTTTTTTTTCAGAGCTAATCATTGTACAGTTATGTCTTGATTATCGAGTTAATTGATTCCAAAGATATCTTGGTATATATTAATCTTGGTTGTTCAGTGTTCAGCCAGTTGGTATGAGCCAGAGGTGACTTGTAACCCACTAGCTCTTGGAAAGATAATCACCACTTTCTACATTAAGTGGTGGTGTTAAAATTTAAATTAAAGGATGTTGATTTATGGCCATGAGATATCAATCTTTCCACAAGACTAGATTCTTTCTGGCTGTGTGTCAAAATAGACAGGTAGCATGCATAAGATATCCACTCTTTAGTTTTTATATTTAACTTATCCATTCAGTGTAACTAAAACTGACTGATAAGAAATTTTTAATAGCAGTCAAATTAATGAAGTTTGCAGACATGTGAGTTTTGAGGGAAGTATTGACATGGATACTACTGAATTTGCAAGTAATACTGATTAGTGTTTAAACAGGGAAAGTGGGAATTATACTTCAAGAATTTAAAGGGTTTTCATGTCTGGTTCAGTGAATCATTATCCCTGATAATCAATATTTGACTGTACTTATAGAGTTTATATTTGTTGAAAATCAAAAGATTTTCTTCCTAATTGTGCAGGATGTAATGTATAAATGTTCAGATGCATTGAGTGCTATAAATGTATAATGAAGATTAACAAATACTGGGGTTTGTTTTTTTTTTATTTTACCTTCTGCGGGATCACCTAAAAAAATCATAGACTGTAATTAGTTATGGGTGGAAAACGTTTCAAACATTTGGTATAAAAAGGGATATAACAGCCCAAAATTTTTTTTTTTAAAAAATTTCACCCCTTTCCCCATAAAAAGGGCCAGGATGCCCAAAAAAAGGAAAAAATGCTTTCATCATTCAACACTGTTTATCACTCATACATAATCACTGTCTAAATAACATTTAAAATGTGGACTTTTAAAATTTTAATCTAAAAATGTTCCCCCAGTATTTTTTTTAAACAACATCCAATTTTATCAGGAAAGCTGTATTTGTTAAAATAGTTTTTTTTTTTTTCAGTTAGAGGAAATATCAAAGGTCCCCTCTGTACTTGTACAGGGGCCAAAATTTTTTTTACCATTTTTTTTCCCTGCAAAACAATGGTTTCCAGGTAACTTTCAAGAAAGGGTTTCAAAATAGATTTTCAAATTAAAAAAAATTTCAAAAAATGAGAACTCTCCCCCTGGTGGGCATTTCCAAACTTTTTTTTATTTTTGGGTTTTCCCTTTTTTGGGCAAAATTTTTCAACATTTTAACCCAAATTTTTCAACTAGAGTACACACATTCACTAGAACTAAAAGATGTGACAACTGCTACAGCTTACAGTAAAGGTTTTTGCTAGTCATTTTCTTAAATTGGAGTTTTTTATATGTTACTCCATTTAGCTTCTGGATGATACATGTAGAATGATTCCTCAAGTGGGCTTTTAATTTAAAATAATTAAGTATATTCAGTGAAGAACAAATATTTTATCAAAACTGGGTACTGGATTCTGCTCTCTAATGGCAGTTCTTGAATTTTTTTATATATTTGTTTCTGCAGGTTGCAACAGTGAATAAGCAGAATATCAAGTATGCTACATTCGTAATAAAGTTGGTAGAATTACCGACAATATGTAAAGTAAAAGGACACAAGTGCAACTAATGTGACTTTTATTGTGGCACGTTTCGCTCTCCAGGAGCTTTATCAAGCCATTACAAACAATACATGGACACAGAGGGTATATAAAGGCTCAGAGTGAGGTGAATACTAGTGAGGTACCATTTCGATGTTCACTAGTGGTAGTAGTAGTAGTAGTAGTAGTAGTAGTGGTAGTGACAAAAGTAATACGATATGGTAGAGCAATTAATTCGTACATGAGTAAAAGGGAAATATAAAAGCAAATTACTTGGGTAACATAAAAATAGGTTGGACAAATATAAACGGGAAAATGAGGCAGGTTGTAATCAGTTTTCACTCTCGTGCTTTGTGTAGTATAACAGGAGAGACTATGTGATGGCAGGGTGTACTGTTTTCAGGAGGATTCTTGCTATGACTTCGGAGATGGTGAAGCTGCCGTTGTTTTGTTTAATTGTCTTCGAAACAGCGATCAGTGCTGATTCAAGGCACTTGCGTGTGCGGAAATTAGGTTTTTTCTTTTTTGTTTTTTTTTTTTTTTTTTTTTTTTTTTTTATACTATTGGGCGTCTCTGAATTTCTTCAGATGTTTGGTGGAATTTTCGGTGTTGTACACGGCGTTGTTTAAGTTGTCGCTTCCTACATGCGTATATGTGTTCATTGAGGCGGGGGGGTCTCGAGGTTTTCTTGCTGTTTCACCTACGTGATCTTGTCACAGCCTCCACGGGTATAGTGTAACTCCTGCATTGACTGGTTCGTGGTGCTTGGGTTTGTCCTGGTTAGATCCTTTATTTGAAGTGGTAGAAGCGATGGCGTATCTGGTGTTTAGCTTGTGAAAGTTCATACTTCATACACCAGTGTCTACAACTCTAAAATGATGGACCTTTTGAATGATCAATCTTATTACTAACCCATCAGCACTTCAACAGGTGGGAGAAGCTCACAAAAGACCTTGCTTTACAAAACCAGACAAATTTACTCAAAACGCCACTAGAGAAGGGAAGAAACTTCTGGACTTGTTACCTAAGCAACCCTAATCCAGCACACATGTATGGTTTATCCATGACCAAAACACAATATTCCTCTCAGACAATCACGTCAGGAATTGGCAAGTTGCTCCACACAAACTAGCCGGTAGTTTTGCCAAACATCTTTCCTGCTTCTGGGCCATCAGGCCCCGCTCCATCTTAACACTCAGGCGACCTTCTCAACCGCAATCCGATAACTCTCCATCCGTAAAAGAAACTAAGCGTTTGGATGTTGACTTCCCTCTGCACAAAAGTACCTACCAAGAAAAGCCATCGAGGTTCTACGACGTAAGTCAACCAGGACCTTAATTTCCTTTTACCTCCCGGGATTTTGTTGACTTGATTGATACTCTGTGGTTTACGGCATCTGTTGTTCCTTCCCCAATATCAAGCTCTACAAATAAACCTTCGGCATGGGAATGGGGTCCCCAATAATGGGCCGTCCTTGCCCAAACGATACAATGGAAACACCTAGAGTCCGATCACTTCGCTACATATCCCTTCATGGTCACTTGGTTACGTTCGTGGACGATGTCCTCGTATAACTTCCAAATCGTTTTGTGGGTACGGGATCGTCAGCAAGGCTCAATGACAGTTGAACCTGCGTTTCAGTTTTCACTAGAGTAGAGTCAAATGACAAGCTCTTTCCTCCGACGTCCTCATTCACAAAGTAGACAACAACCTAAGATTTCACGTTTTATCGAAACCCACCCATAAAAATTAATAAATTTGGGGATCTCCACACTTTCTATTCAGTCAAGATACCAAGTCCAAAAGAGGCAATTTTTTCACCATCATCGGTTTTTCTATGAGCATACCGAATTTGTAGTCCTGAGTTTCTGGACGTGGATTGTACTTACATTCACCAATACATTTCAATGAGTTACAATTTGTCCTTCTTTTTTCATCTATGGACTGCAAGAAGACTCTTCCAGATCTCAAGTCTCCAGATCAACACCGCTCCCAAACAAAGTCATAAAATTCTTCCAACAGCAGGTTGCACTAAACGTCTCAAAAAGTTACTTTCACAAGCTAACACCAGAGTCGCCAATCGCTTCTCTACCCTTCAATAAAGGTTCTAACCAGGACAAAACCAAGCCCAGAACCAGTCATTGCTGGAGTTTACCACTATTCCCTTGTGGAGGCTGTGACAAGATCTAAGTAGGTGAAACGGCAATGAAAACCTGACACCCCGCCTCATATGATACTCATATAACGCATTGTAGGAACGACAAATTAAACATCGCTGTGTACCAACACCGAAATTACCAATATCTTTTGAAATGCTGAGGACGCCCAATTAGTGATAATAGAAACTAATTTCCGCACACGACAAGTGCCTTGAATCAGCTCTGATCGCTGTTTCGAAATCATTTAAACAAAACAACGCATGCGTCACAATCTCCGAAGTCTTTTGCATGAATCCTCCTGAAAAATGTAAACCGGCCATCACATAGTCGCTCCTGTTATACTTCTCAATAGCACAGAGAGTGATCAATGTTACAACCTGCTCATTCAGTTTATATTTGTCCAAACCTATTTTTTTAGTTTCCCAAGTTATAGCTTTTATATCCTTTTACTCATTGTACGAATTAATTGCTCGACACCTATCGTATTTACGTGTGTCACTACCTGACACTTCGACTATACTTACCACTAGGGAACACGAAATGGTACCTCAACTAGTTGTCACCTCACTCTGTGCCTTTATATTACCCTCTGGGTCCATGTATTGTTTGTATTGGCTTGTTAATGCTCATGGTGAGCGATAACGTTGCCACAATATATGTTCTACAGTTGGTGCTGGGTGTCTTGTACTGTTCATATGGCTTCATTCGTTCCCTTGTATTGGTCATGTTGGACTGCATTATTATACAAGCTCCAATTAGATGTTATGGGGTCTGCAAGGTGTGTGTCGTTTGCACAATTACATAATTGGGATGGAATATATTTAGCATGGGGTAATTTGTGATATTTAAACTCGGTGCTTGTGGGTAAGGGTTGTAAATCCTGTCCATAATAGAAGTATCTTGGATCCTCCACCTCTGGGGAGTGGGGGGTGGTAGTTTTCTCTTGGTTAGGGGGACTGGGGGTTGGGAGGCTCCACTTTTACGCTTCCCTGGCTGGCGCGATTGCTTCCTCGGGCCGGCTGGTTTCTGGGCTAGGGGGTGTTCGCGGGGGGTTGCAACACACGCGACACCGACCCAAAGACACAAACCACCCAAACAGCGAGGCGAGAAGCAACCCACCGAAGAGGACAGCACACCCCGTTCCCACGCCCAAAACACGCACATCGCCCCGTTCCGCACCCACGCGCAGACATGGGACCACAGAACGCACGGTTGAGACACACACGCGCAACAACGGAGAAGGCGGCGAGCCGTGAGGCGCGCTGGCCCACCAACCGGCCCCCACTCCCCCCCGGCCGGCCCCGCGGCGGAAGCGCAACACAGCGCACAACGCCACCCAACCGCGCACGCACACACTAGCCACCCCCCCCCACGTGCAACAGACGGAACCCAACCCGCCCCCACGCAACCCACAGAAGGGGACACAAAACCGCCGCTCCTGACACGCGCCCCCCCCAAAACCACCCGACCCTCACACGCCGACCCAGACAAGCACGAATGACCAAAAGCAACACCAAGTCACCGCGCACGGCCAGCCTCCAACACACCTACGCAGGCCGGACCAAGCGCGCCCCACCACGTCAACAACGACCCCTGCGCCGGAGATACTGAACGAGAAACGTGACGCGTCGCAGTTGACCCGTTTTGCCACCCCGACAAGCACCAAAGCAACGAGCGACCCACAAACAACAAGACCTCGCCGGGGGCCGCCCCCGACCCCACCGTACACCAACAACCGGACGCGTTCCAAAGCAACGGACACCCACGCCCCCACCCTGCTCAAGACTTTACCCACAGACAAACTCTAACGCAGCCGACACCGCCCCCCGCCGGGGGCCACACCACGCCGCCGACCCCCTCCAACCCCCTCCACTGCCCA